AACAAAGAACAAATTTAAAATAAATTTATACCTTCCTGCTCTTGGCTGTTTCTTTTTTTTTGTTTCTTTTTCCTTATGTTTCTCCCTTGCTTTCTTGCGTTGTTCTTCTTTGTTGTCCGTACTTCTCTGCTGTCTTCTCCGTGTCCTGCTCTTCTTCCTTTTTTTGTTCCTTTGTGCTCTTCTCTATCGTCCTTTTTTTTTTGTCGATCTCCCTCTTTTCTGCAGCGTCTCCCCTTCCTTTTTTCTGTCCCCCGTGTGCTTCAATTTCTGCGGCGTCTCCCTCTTTTTTTCGTCCTCCTTTTTTTGCTGTGGTTTCCAGAGTTCTTACGTGGGGGAGGATAGAGGCCTTTCTTTTCGCCACTTTCTCTTAAACTGACTCCACTTTTCTTTTTGTTGTAGAAAATGGGGGAGCCGCTGATTTTGTATGTTTCTTCCCTCTTTTGTAGGGAAATGCATCTTTTATTTTATTTTATTTATGGATGTACGTAAAGCCCATCCTCATTTTTGATAGGCTGGATTACATCTTGTTTTGCCTTGTAGTTTGATCCAATTTGTATGGACCTTATTTTTTATACGTCATGTATTTTTATTGTTCAAGACAAATGAAAGTGGTATGGACGAGACAAGGCAGAAATAGAATTTCCTCATTTCATGAATTAACTTGAAGGAAAGGGATCATCTTCAGATCTTTTTCTACCAAATTCACCTAGTTCGGGATCTGGGTCGTTGGATTATTATAACTTTTAAAAGGTTCTCCTGTTTGTAGCCGTTGGATCAAATCCAACAACTCAGATCTCAAACTAGATGGATTTGGTGGAAAGGGAACCATAGATGATCCCTTTCCTAAATTGAGCAGGAGCTTAAGGTTCTTAAATGGGAAATTCCAGTGTGACGGGAACAAGAGGTGGTGTACCACGTGTCATTATACAAATTGTGAGATATGTGTGTTAAAAAGTTAATAACTTAAAAAATACAATTTTCTACCACTTGTATAAAAACACATGGTATACTATTTGTGTTCCGGTCAGATGGAAAAAAACAATGATTCATGAGGATCCTTGGAAATATTAAACCATAATAATTGATTCATGAGCCCACAGGTACTTTGGCAATATTAAATTATAATAGTTGATTACAAACACCGATGATAATTACAAATACTATTCTTTATTTATTGGTGGTTTTAAACTAATACGTTTGAAACACCACATATAGTGGAAGGTTTGTATTAGTCAAGCTTTCTAACAATTCAATGTTGGAGTGTGCTATCCACACACTTATTTTTACTTTTTATAGGCTTTTTGTTAATTTTTGTCTGTTGATCTTATTCAATTCATCCGATCAGACGGTTAAAAACCAAAAAAATATGGAAGAAATAAAAATGGGTGTGTGGATATCACATCCCTCAATGTTTATGGTATAACCTAATTATTATTTTAAGAAAGCTACTATTAGATTATAGAAATATATAAATACGTGAAGTTGTGAATGAAATGGCAGGCAATTTGAAAAGCAATTCCAAAAGCAATTCAAAGCTTCTTTATTAGCTTCTTCATTTTCTCTCTTAATTAGTTTCGTCTCATTTAATAGAAGTCCAATTCGAAAGAGAAATCGACACTCCATTTTTTTTCAGTTAGGAATTAATAAGTTCTATCACCAATAAGTTTTGGATTCCAATGCTGATCGTCCATCTTTTAACCAGACACGGTTTCCTTCTTGTTTTTTCTTCTTAAAAAACAAAAGACAGCACACGTTAAAAAAGTTTTTCCATATATCCTATTGTTTATTAAAAATGATGTTATTTCTTATTGATGACACATTATTTAGTTTGCAAATTTGGTTTACCTAGTATTACTTCCTATGACACAGCACAAACACGGGCAAAAATTTGAATTTTGATTGAGCATTAACATGTCATGTTGATAAAAGGTGGACCACTTTAACAGATTGTGTTCGCGTTATCTTTTAGCTTAACGCTGTGTTTGGTTTATTCACCATAAACACCACGTCAACCAGTTGACAAAGCGGGTCAGGTTGGAAAAAAAAGAAAACATAATTGAAAGATCTACTAGACTTAGTGCTTGATATTATTAAGCAAATCAAGACATTTATTTAGAATTAAGATGAGGGATCAAGCACAGTCCTCGTCGGGATAATAAGCTTGCCACAAACCTGTAGAGAGATAAACTTGTAAATGCATAAGAAAGCATTTGCATTTCATAGTAGACGATTATACCCTATACCATATAGCTAAAGGTTGAGACTTCGGAGCCATGGAGAGCCTAATGAAATCATTCTCGGGAAACTACCACCACCTGCTTTCCCACATTGCGGCCGGCAAAGAGCCCTATCAGAGCAGCTGGAGCGCTCTCAAGGCCTTCCACTACATCTTCCACATAAGTTATCTTCCCTTCTTTTATGGCCGGCAGAACCATTTCAAGAAACTTCCGTAAAGGTGGTAGTAACTAGAAACCCCGAAACCTTGCATGCGAATCTGTTTAATGATCAGATACATTAAATTGTGACAACCTTCAGGCTGGTCAAGGTTATACTGCGAGACCATCCCACAAACTGCAATCCGGCCATGGAGCCTCATGTTTTGTAGCACTGCATCAAGCATTTTTTCCCCCAACGTTTTCAAAAGTATATGTCGATGCCTTCAGGAAAGTATCTGGTAAGCAAATCACATATTTAGACCATAAGCAAACACCGAAAACCATGGAATATATCTACAAAGAGGACAAAGACGTGAGTATCTCTTCAACAGCCACATGCTCCCACCGTCACATTTCAACTTACTTTTTCTCTGTTTTAGGAAATTGGGGACTAAAATCACTAAAGCATGACTTTAGAGATTGCTAATGCCTTTATTGGACTTTCCCCTCGTAATTAAAGACACATGTAAAAGCTTTAAAATAATAGTTTGATTCTGATCAACATATAAATACTGACCTTTTTAAAGCTGCATCCAAATCAGGCTCTTCTTTATAATTGAAAGCTTTGTCAAACCCAAACTTGTTCTTCAGCAGATCAACCTAACCTCAGAAATGATATAACATGTTAAAATACAGCAAGAATGGTTAAAACATTGTCATTTGAAATACGGAAAACTGTAGGAATGAGACCAAAAAAGCTCATAGATGCACATTTCTCTGTAATTTACTAAGTAGCATATGCTTGCGGTATCATATGATACGAACAATTTGCCAACTAAATGAGGCAGGAGGTTGAAAACAGGTCAAAGCTGAATTTTACGCACTTGATTATGAAGATAAAGGGTCACCAATATCTGTACATTCCAATAAGTTCTCATAATTTTCCCCATTTCGATTAGTCAAAATTTCTCTGTTGCCAATTTGGCATACATCACTTAATACATGTTTCTAAACCAAGAATAATCATCCGATTGAATCACAATCACAGAAATGCCATCTAAGATATAGTTGCAATCGACCACTAAATTTGCAATAACTGACCTTTTCTTTGCTTCCAGCACTTCCAACAACATAGCAACCCAACGACTTTGCAATTGGCCAACAAGCTGACCTACCGCCCCAGATGCTGCTGAAACGAAGACCGTCTCTCCCTTCTTAGGATTGCAGACCTCATAAAAACCAGCATAAGCAGTCATTCCAGGCATACCTATATAAAATGAATACATTAGATGAGCGTAGCATCAAGTAAATATATCATGCATTACAAACCCATAAAACTAAATATTTGGTTGAATTATTAAGGATGGATCACTTCAGCAATTGCATACAATCAAAGAACAATGCTACAAATGCATAGGACCAATTGATTATGTAAGCTAAATCATTTCCGTACTTCCAAATCAAAATGCTATTATGAAAAGGAATATGTTGCATTGGTTTGTGAAGATATAGTTTACAAAGAGCCGTGAGAATCAACAAATCAGTTCACATTTTTAGTATGATAGAGGTCACTGGAGGCAGAATACAACTAGAGATACAAGACTTGAGATAGGCTGGATCCTTGTGGCAGAACAAATTTTTAAATGAAATAAATCCCAAGGCAAAGGAAATAGCAATAGCCAATACACAGCAACATACCAAGAATACCAGTATAGTAAGAGAGAGGCACATCAGTGTGCTGAATCTTAAACAAAGACTCCGTTGCAGTGATAACACTGTACTCTTCCCACCCGGTTATTCCCCAAATGAAGTCGCCTTGCTTAAACTTGGGATCTCCGGATTCCAAAACTTTGGCAACTCCATATCCGACTATAGGCTGCCACATCATTTCAAATTTCAATATCTAACGGTAAATAAAGAGATAGTACAACAGCGAATACCTAAGTTGTCTCAAACTGTAAATTATTAAATCATCCCAAACATCAACAAATTGTAATCCGAAAAACGAGGCTATCTGTCCAACAAGATTAGTACTTGGGCTACTCGGTCACATTATTCAATACTAATATTACATGATAGATCATAAGGAAGCGAACTTTCAAACTTGAACAAAAGGGAAAGGGCACATATAGTGACTGACCGAACCGGGTTTGAAGGAATCCATAAAACTGGCGCCAGGTTCACGCTTGGTCATGCGGTTTCTAATATAAGGGTCGCAGGACAAGTAGAGGTTCTTCACCAGAACCCCTTTTGAACCTTCTGGAAGCTTGAGCTTGGTGGTGGCGGCGGTGAGTTGCATGTCAGATTCTTTGGGGAAGCCGGTCACATAGTCTTTCAGTAGCACCTGCTTGTTGCTGATCACTTCCTCTGTACTCGCCGCCATTGATGGATTGCTGCTTATTTCTCTTCCTTATCTCATTTTACCAGCTGTCTCTCTCTCTCCCTCTCTTTATATAGGCGGGCGGAGCCGAGGAGAGCGGTATGAGCGATTTGGAATGGGAATTGCTGTTGAATGTAGTGTAAAGGTATAAAGGCACAGGGTCAATCCAATGGTTGATGTGCAGCCAAGTGTCAATAGATTAAGTTGATGAGTTTGTTATGAGTTTGCTTAATCTGTAAGGAATGTGAAGAGTATATAAAGAGATAGTGTGTAAGCAATTCTAAGTGAAATGAAATATACAAAATTACTTTCTCAGTTTCTCTCTAACACTCCTGTAATCTCTTTCTCTTAAGTGTGAAATCCTTCATTGTTAAAGCTTCAAGCTTCTCCTTTAACATGGTATCCTCGCCGGGAACAGATGGCGTTTATCGATCCTGATCAAGTGTTGCTTCCGCTATCTTCAATCTTCTCTTCTCAACTACTTCCCTGAATCCGTGGTATGTCATTTTCTTTCTTCGATCCTCTCTGATATGGTGAATTATAATCTACAAGTCGGTTGTGTTTCTTGCACATGACCTGTTTGATGATATGTGTGAATGATGGTATCTGTGAATTTCTTCTTCTACAATCTTGGATCTCTGTTCTGAAAAGTGCAATGCATTTGATCGCAAACCCTACCTTCTCAATTTCTTCAAGAATCTCTCAATTTCTTCAAGATTTCTCCTGTTTCTATAAGAATTTCAAAAGTATGGTGACTACTGCCCAACTTCAGATAGTTCAGTCTCCAATTATGCACTTGATTCCTAATGTGTCGGTCTCTGTGACGGTCAAATTAGATGATACGAATTACTTAGTCTGGCATTATCAAATGCGATTGCTTCTTGAAAATCATGGTATTCTTGGTTTTGTGGATCTTATAACAACAATTCTGGTGGTTCTATCACAATAATTCTGGAGGTTATAGAGGACCAAATCTCAGAGGAAGAGCAAGAGGCAGAACCCACTTTGGTAATAATTCTAGGTTCTTGGGTAACAGTCCTAATAACAGTCCTGGCATACTTGGTCCTGTGAGACCACATGTTTCCACTTGCCCTGAGCATAGCAATGACATACCTGTGTGTCAAATATGAAACAAAAGAGGTCATATTGCTGCTGATTACTTCCAGAGACATTCTTCTACCACTGTTTCATCATCTCCAGTGCAATGCTAAATTTGTTGGAAATTTGGTCATTCTGCAATGCAATGTTACCACAGAACCAATTTTTCATACCAAGGAAGATCTCCACCATCCTCTATTACTGCAATGCATGCTACCTATCAACCATCTGCCCCTCAAGAGCAATTCTGGGTTGCTGATATGGGTGCTACATCCCACATGACGTCTGACTTGTCCAATCTTACTCTTGCCACTCTATTCATTGGCACGGATACTATAACCACTGCAAGTGGTGCAGGTTTGCCCATATCTCACACTGGTTCTTCTGTTTTGCATACTCCAAAACATGCTTTTCAACTAAAGAAAATCCTGCATGTGCCAAAATTATCTCAACATTTGTTGTCTATTTATCGGCTCTGTAAAGATAACAAATGTAGGTTCATATGTGACGAGTTCTCTTTCTGGATTCAAGACAAGATCACAGGGAAAGTTCTTCTTCATGGACTGTGTAGAGCTGGCCTATATCTAATTCCATTATACATACCATAATCCATTGTCAATCAAGCATTAAAGACACCTCACTCACACAAACAGCAGCATTGTTACCTTGGTCATCAAGTGAACACAAATTTGTGGCACAACAGATTAGGCTATCCATCTAATTTTGTTGTTTCTCACATGTTGCATCAATCTCAGGTTCCTTTTTCTGTGGATCCTTCTAAACATGTGTGTATCTCTTGTTTGCAAGGAAAATTTACTAAACTTCCTTTTTCATACCCTGCAAATAAAAATGTAAAACCCTTTGAGGTTATACATAGTGATGTGTGGGAACCATCACCTACTTTGTCCATTGAGGGTTTCAAATTCTATGTACTTTTCATAGATGAATGTACCAGGTTTACCTGGATATTTCCTTTAATGAATAAAAGTTATGTGTTTCATACCTTTATGCAGTTTCATTCTTTTGTACAAACTCAATTTTCCACTGCCATTAAAATTTTCCAAAGCGATGGTGATGGTGAATACACCAGTAACAAGTTCAAACAGTTTCTGTTAACAAAAGGCATTTTGCATCACAAGTCTTGTCCACACACACCTGAGCAAAACGGTCTTGTTGAACGCAAGCATCGGCATATTGTTGAAACTGCACTTACTCTTCTTCAAAAAGCTCATTTGCCTTCACAGTTTTGGTTTCATGCTTGTGCAGTTTCTATCTACTTAATAAACAGAATGCCATGTCAGGTTTTAACCATGAAGTCTCCATACACTTGTCTGTTTCAAAAACCCCCAGTGTTAACACATTTAAAGGTTTTTGGATGTAGTTATTTTCCTCTCTTGAAACCCTACAACACTTCCAAATTCCAACCCAAGACTGCACAGTGCATATTTCTGGGATATGCTGGTCAATATAAAGGGTATATTTGTTTTAATCCCATTACTAGCAAATTTCACGTGTCAAGACATGTTCTTTTTTATGAGCATACTTATCCTTATTTGGATCTTATTTCTAAGTCTCAGGTTACACCATCACTTAGCACGCCTTCTTTAATTGTACCACCATCAGTTACACTTCACAATGTTATTGAATCACACACATTATCATCATTTCCACCATCATCTACATCAGTGCATTTAACCCCTAGAGCTTCAGAGTTTTCTTCTATAACCCCTAGTGCTTCAGAGTCTTTGGCATCTCCAACTATAGCTCCAAAGTGTTTGGCTTCTTCCACCAACCCTATACCTGCCCCTATACCTGTTATTTCTCCACAAGAGACACCATCATCCCTGTTAGCTCATCTTGCACCTACACAGTCTCCAATCCTTATGGATCCTGATTTCCAACAAGAACGTCTAAGTGTGGTTCTGCCTGTACCCTCTGTGAGCTTACACCCCATGCAAACAAGATCCAAAAGTGGGATTTCTAAGAAAAAAACTTTCTTAGCTTTTGTTTCATCCTTACTTGTGCCTGTTATGGAACCGGTTTCTTTCAAGTCAGCTAGTCAAGTCTCAGAATGGCATGCTGCCATGCAAGATGAGATAAATGCTTTGAATGCTCAGAAGACCTGGACTTTTGTTCCTCTTCCTATTGGCAAAAACTTAGTTGGATGCAAATGGGTGTACAAGCTTAAGAGGAATCCAGATGGGTCTATAGCACGGTATAAAGCTCGTTTTGTGGCTAAAGGGTATAGTCAAGAGGAAGACATCGATTATACTGAAACTTTTAGTCCCGTGGTTAAGCCTACTACTGTCCGATTAATCTTAGCACTTGCAGCTCAGTTTAACTGGAGTTTGAGACAGTTGGATGTTCAAAATGCTTTTTTACATGGAGATCTTCTCGAAGAGGTCTATATGAGTCAACCTCCTGGTTTTGTCTGTTCCTCTCATCCTTCAAATTATGTTTGTAAACTCAAGAAGTCCTTGTATGGTCTTAAACAGGCTCCTCGGGCATGGAATGAGAAGTTTACAAGCTTCTTACCGAGCTTAGGCTTCAAAGCCTCTTTTGCCGATCCTTCATTGTTTGTCCAGCAAACTTCCAATGGTATTGTGATTCTCTTACTCTATGTGGATGATATCATCCTTACTGGCAGCAATCCATCTCTTATGTCTAAAGTCATTTTAGCTCTGACACAAGAGTTTGATATGAAGGACTTGGGCATTTTACATTACTTCTTAGGCTTGCAGATCACTTACAAGAACACATGTTTGTTTGTCTCTCAGACCAAATATATTCAAGATCTTCTCGCCAAGGTTGATATGCAAGATGCCAAGTCATGTGCCACACCATGCCTTCCTTATCACAGGCTATCTAAGACAGATGGTTCACCTTACCATAGTCTCGAACACTATCGCAGCATTGTTGGTGCATTGCAGTATTTGACCTTCACTAGGCCTGATATTGCATTTGCTGTTAACCAATGTTGTCAATTTATGCACAACCCTCTGGATATTCATGTTGTTGCGGTGAAACAGATTTTGAGGTATCTCAGTGGCACTCTTGACTATGGCATTCATTTTACTCCTGGCAAATTACAACTTCAAGCCTATAGCGATGCAGATTGGGCAGGGGATCCCAATGATCGTCGATCCACATCCGGCTATATTGTTTATTTGGGTAATACACCTATTTCTTAGGCCTCCAAGAAACAACATACTGTGTCTCGGTCCTCTACTGAGGCAGAATATCGAGCACTTGCCATCACTGCAGTCGAAGTCTCTTGGATACGTCAACTTCTGTGTGATCTTCATGTTCCTTTATATGATGCTCCCATGTTATTTTGTGACAATATTTCTGCTATCGCCCTATCCTCTAACCCAGTCTTTCATTCACGGGTGAAGCATATTGAAATTGACTACCACTTTGTCCGGGAGAGAGTTATCAAAGGTGACTTGGGTGTACAACATGTCTCTTCCAAGGAGCAGTTTGCAGACATTTTAACTAAAGGGTTGTCTACTTCTCTGTTTCAAGATCATTGTTCCAATCTCATGCTTAGTTCTAGTAAGCATGAGATTGATGAGGGATGTAAAGGTATAAAGGCACAGGGTCAATCCAATGGTTGATGTGCAGTCAAGTGTCAATAGATTAAGTTGATGAGTTTGTTATGAGTTTGCTTAATTTGTAAGGAATGTGAAGAGTATATAAAGAGATAGTGTGTAAGCAATTCTAAGTGAAATGAAATATACAAAATTACTTTCTCAGTTTTTCTCTAAAACTCCTGTAATCTCTTTCTCTCTCTAAGTGCGAAATCCTCCATTGTTAAAGCTTCAAGCTTCTCCTTTAACATGTAGTCCCATATTAAGAAAATAGAATATAGTCCCGTAAGTCCACGGTTCGACTTCTAATAAAGTTTATTGTTAATGACATTTAGTCCCATATTATCCTGAAATTTAATACTTAGAAATTGATGATTAAGTTAAGATAATATTGATGTTTTGGAGTGAACTAATGGTCTGTCTCTCTAATTAAGTTAAGATCATTTTATCTTTTTTATTTTGGAAATGTTTTGAATTGAAAATTAATTAGGAGTTTAATAAGGCTGTGAGTATTAAAATTTTAAATTATTACTAATATATATTCTAAAAAATTACGTAAATGACATCTATATTCATTAAACATTAAAGCTTGGGATTTCGATCAAAATCTGAAAAATAATTATACCTCAGTTAATGAACATTATTAACTAGTGACCGAATACTAATTTTTTTAAATAATAACTATCGTTTTAATGCAAGTTGCTATACATATAATAATGCCATGTTTACTAATTAATTATGCATACTTTGCTAGATTGATGAGAGTGGGAGGGAGGGAACTGGGAACTGAAGCACAAGACAAGAGGGGACGAAGAGGAAGTGGTGGTGGCCTGGCCTGGTCTCGTTCGTGAGTCGTTAGTCACCCTTTCCCACTTTGACAATTATATTTTAATTAAAAAATGTCGAGATGGCCGGCCACATAAATATATCTTTATTTCTGATCTTGGTGGATGGATCGATCATATAGATGGATACGTTCGGCTAATAATATTTGGAGAAATATTGAAAAAATTATCTTAAAAATGGGACTGTTTATATATGGGATTATATAAAGGGAGACTTTGGATGCGGTCCTTAGTTATGAATATTCTTTTATTGAAACCTTATTGGTTTTTAATTTTTGATCGAGGTTCCTGAAATTAATGTGATAATTTATTTCTATGTACGTTACTGTATTTTTTAAAATAAAAATTAGAAATTTTAGTTATTTATATAAATGAGATTTTAAATAAAAAAACCATAATTTGTGGGATTAAAAATATTAAAATATAAATATACTATTGTGTGTGTGTGTGTGTGTATAAACATGGGTTGACACACCTCGACCTGAATCAGGACGTGCTGGCCGTCACGTGAGAGTGACGTAAGACATGTGCACAGTGCGGAAGCAATAAAGATATGAAATTCTGAATAATTAAAAACCGAACCACTAGCAGCACTAACTAAGATAATGTGCTAGTGCGAGTTTAAGAGTGAATTACACTTATATAGAGCATAAAACCTAAGTGCAGTCAAGCAATAAGTACTAATTAGCCAACACCCGCAGGTGATCATATATTAAGGCAAACTGTCAGAACTGCATGGAAGCCTTCGCAACGCCACCAACGAACAATCTTACTAGAACCTGGAGGGGCGAAAAACAGAAAACGTGAGTGGGCAAAAACAAGGTTTTTGAAATTCATTTCTTTCTCAAAAGTTCTAACCCCTCGCCATAAAACCTGTATAATTTTCCCATAAAATAGAACATATAAATATCCATAACTCAATTCATGTTCAACATCTCAAAATCCAAATATAAATGTCATGCATATGCCATGTCCGATACTCATGCCATGATTACTATCACAATATCACATATGTAAGCCAGAGGCTATAATTCAATATAAATAACCCATCTAGCCGGGAGTCACCTCTTGTGACCTGCACGGCTTAATCTAGAGCTCAATCATCTCATTACTAATATGCCTGCACACGAGTCAGGAACCACCTCTCGTGGTCTGTACGACAAGCTAGGTGTAAATAAACATGTATGCTCAAGTGCTACAATCACGTGAAGGCTGTGCGATAAATCGCGGGTCACCTACGAGTCGGGAACCATCTATTGTGGTCTGTACGATAGGCTGGCACCTACCTTGGATTCAAGGTGAGAGTGTAGTGCGGGAGGTGAACGATCACGTGAAGGCTGGCCCTGGCCACGGGCGGAGCACTAACTATCCCGACGTCCAATTTCTTCCAACGAACTACTCTGAGCCTCGTGAGGACCTCCTAAAGCTCCATGTGTCCTTAAAATTCCCTGAAACATAAGATTTTACGTCCACATGAATAGTACCTCAAATCGGAGCTAGGACTTTCACGGGTTTTCGAGGGTTTCCTTACCTGAAAATGGTACCTTTAAACTCGTATGGTCCTCACGAGCACAATAATGATCTTAAAACCTTCGATCTACAAGGTTTGAGAGGGTTTCTGGGTTGGTCCGTACAAAGAAGGGAGAGAGAGTGAGAGTCTGCGAGAGAGAGGGAGTACGGGAGAGAGAGAGAGAGAGAAAATGATGTGGATATGTGTGTGTAGTCCAATCTGCACACCAATCACAACTAACCAAGGTTAAGTTCTCATTGGCCCCAAAAACTTAACTAACCAAGGTTAAGTTCTCATTGGCCCCAAAAACTTAGGAAAATAATTATATTGGTCCACTTCTAAAACCATGTCACACACAACACATCTCAACGCCCAAGGGCATTCTAGTCTTTTCACACCTTCGATAAAAGTATTTCGGGACGGGTTGTGACATGGGTACATTCATCAAAATTAACCAAAAAATTTATTGTATCAAAACATGGGTACATTCTTCAAAATCACAAACAAAAAAAAATTAAGCTTAATAACATTAGTAAATTTCTTCGATTAAACTTGACATGGATACATTTTAAAATCAAAGAAAAAAGAATGTACCCATATAAGTTTAAAAATGGATTAGAAAAGAATTGAATAGATTTTATGTCACATCCCGGCCCGGGGTGGACCACTTCCCGGGCCATCTCCACCACTGTAGCACGATATTGTCAGCTTTGGGCTTACCATTCCCTCACGATTTTGTTTTTGGGAACTCACGAGCAACTTCCAAGTGGATCACCCATCCTAGAAGTGCTCTGGCCTCCTTCTCGCTTAACTTCGGAGTTCCTACGGAACCCGAAGCCAGTGAGCTCCCAAAATGCCTCGTGCTAGATAGGGATGAGAATATACATTTAAGGATCACTTCCCTAGGCGATGTGGGATGTCACAATCCATCCCCTTAGGGGCCCGACATCCTCGTCGGCACACTTCCGGCCAAGGATTGGCTCTGATACCATTTGTCACATCCCGGCCTGGGGCGGACCACTTCCCGGGCCATCTCTATCACCGTAGCACGATATTGTCCGCTTTGGGCTTTACCATTCCCTCACAGTTTTGTTTTTAGGAACTCACGAGCAACTTCCCAGTGGGTCACCCATCCTGGAAGTGCCCTGACCTCCTTTTTGCTTAACTTCGGAGTTCCTACGGAACCCGAAGCCAGTGAGCTCCCAAAAGGCCTCGTGCTAGATAGGGATGAGAATATACATTTAAGGATCACTCCCCTGGGCGATATGGGATGTCACATTTTATATATATAAAAAATGGTACATTTTACATATAACAAATTGGTATATTTAAGAATGAATACATTTTAAGATTAAAAAGTTTTACATGAATGGGTACATATAATTAGCATGGGTACATTTAGCAAAATAAAAAGTACAAATAAAAAAATATATGGGTACAAATACAAATAAACTTTAAAAAATATGGACACAAAAAAGAAATTAATATATGGGTACAAATTAAAACTAAAAAGAAAAATGGTACAAGTTAAAAAAGAATTACAAATTAAAAATGGGTACAAATTAAAACTAAAAATATATGATAAAAAATTTAGTCATAAATATAAATATACAAATTGTAACATTTTTAACATTAAATGAATATATTTAGAAATTAAAAACTATTTTATTATTGAAATAATTAATGATGTTATTAATACCCAAAGACCTTGATCAAAAATTGAAAAGGAATAGGATTTTAATTAATGTAGTAGCAAAAGGAAGGATGAGAACCTAATTTCTCCTTATATAAATTTCAGATAACTAGCTATGTGCTACATAAGCAATTTTCCCAAGACATCAACTTCAAAATTTGGTGAAAATAGCACTAGAAATATGCCTAGAATTCCAGTATAGTAAGAGAGTGGGACATCGGTGTCGTGAATCTTAAACAGGGCCTTTGTGGCAGCGATGAGACTATATTCTTCCCACGCGGTCATCCCCCAAACGAAATCGCCTTCCTTGAACATGGGATCCCCCGATTCCAAAACTTTAGCCACTCCGTATCCGGTTATAGGCTGCCAGTCCACAGCATTTCAATATCTTCGATGCGATAATTATTAGTAACAAAATATAATTCTACGATACTAAATAGGCACAAAAAATGCAAGCTTTTTTGTTTGGCCAAGAAAAATGACATTACGTTCATCACAAAAATGCTAGCTTGAATTAATCTAAGTATATTGTAAAGCAGAGATGTTCAGACACCAAGGGGAAATTGTAAGGAGGACCCAAAAGAGAAAAATTCTCAATCCTTCAGCCCCATTTGTAAATATACAGAAATTAATGCTAAAATTTCTAAAAATAAAAACAAGTTAGGGAGATTAGAGATGGAGGATGAACTGACCGAACTGTGCACGAAAGAGGGGACATAACTGCCGCCGGGTTCGCGCTTGGTCATGCGGCCTCTCATATAAGGGTTGCAGGACAAGTAGAGGTTCTTCACCAGAACCCCAGTGGAACCTTCTGGAAGCTTCAGCTTGGTGGCTGCGGCGGTGACTAATTGCATATCGGATTCTTTGGGGAAGCCGGTGACATAGTCTCTGAGTATCACATGCTTGTTGCTCGTCACTTCCATTTTTTATTCTTTTTCTACTGAATTTGCTTCGCTTCTTACAAACAAGGCCGATCGCCGAATGTGTAAATGCGATGTGAGCAATTAGCGATGTGAACGGCTTGGCCGATTGATTCATGTATGTCGACGTGTGTATGCGTGACCTGTGTGTCCATGTCCGCTTGGCCGACTCGATGTGCTCTAGTTACAGCATGTCCATCCCAAATAATGTTAAAGGAGACTAAATGTGTAGATAAAATTTTTGAAATCTAAGGATATGGAAGTTGATGGTTGGTTCATTAGTTAAACGTTGATAAACGTGCCTATTCATATTAGTAACACATTATTTAGTTTGCAAATTTTGTCTCTAAATTCGTCTTGGTTTGACCTGCAAACTTTGAGCGTTAACACTACCCAATCCAGTGGGCTTCAAGGGAGCCTAAGTGCTCGACATACCACATGTCCTCGAATTGCTTAGCCCACCGACTAGGTGGATCTGATGTCAGTCACATAAATTATTATTTTTTCAATTAGGGAGCCGACAAAAATACAGAGTTGGGGCCCGCACTACAGCCGCACACTCAGCTAATCTGGGGCCGCATGGGGGACATGGCTCTGTCTAGGCCGTTGGATTTCCAACGATTATTTTTGGCCATTGGATTTCCAACAGTTCAAAAATTTTGAATTTGAAAATAACGGCTTACAAGTGGCAAATTCTAGTCTATTAGAAGGTCTAGATTTTTGGGGCTTAAAAAACTTTAAACCAAAAAGAAAAATCAGCAAAAATCCTATTATTACCGTTGGGATTACGTGTCAAAATCTAGGCTTTTGGATTAATCATTCATCGTAATCCAACGGTCCATATTAATTAGGTTAGATACAACTTATTAAAAAATACAGTAAAATTAATAAAAATTACAGAAAAAATATTCAATCTGGTATATTTTATTTAAATGAAGAGAATCGTTATGTAAACTAAGATCATCTTTATTCAAAACAACATAAATAACACACCAAATAAAATTACAAAAACACACCAAATAAACTTAAAAAAACACACTAAATAAACTTAAAAAAAAAGCCACCAAATAAACTTAATAAAAAACACCTACCACAAGCTTGTTTTAAGTTTCTTGATCTTATTTCAACCCCACAAGTGCTCAATCAAGTCATTTTGACGCCTTTTATACAAGTATCAAGATTCCATAGGGACAACTGGACGTCTGTGACGGAGTCAATCCCTAGAAACTAAAACCACCTGCTTTCCGACATTGCGGCCAGCAAAGAGCCCTGCCAGAGCCCCCGGAGCGCTCTCAAGGCCTTCAACTACATCTTCCACGTATATTATCTTCCCTTCTTTTATGGCAGGTAGAACTGTTTCAAGAAACTTCCCGTATAGATGATAGTAACTAAAAGCCACGAAACCTTGCATACGGACCTGTTTAGAGATGAGTGATATTAAATTATGCACACCTTCTGTTTGCTCAAGGTTGTACTGCGAGATCATCCCACAAATTGCGATTCGGCCATTCATCCTCATGTTTAGTAGGACTGCATCGAGCATCTTTCCCCCAACATTTTCAAAGTATATATCGATGCCTTCAGGAAAGTACCTGTTGCGTAAATTACACATTCAGAATATACATGTTTAGCCCAATGTTTAAGCAATATATAGGAAGTGGAAAATCAGCCTCACATACTCAAGAACCTTTCATTTTCTAATCTTCTCTCTCTTTCGAAAGATTGGGGATTAGATCTTAAGTTTTGTTGTTGATGTTAAGGCCTTTCAGAAAAGGGGTCGTATCGTTGACACATGAAAAACTCAGTATGCCTTCAGCAAAATAAAATTAGAAACAAAAATGCCCCTTATCACCATTCATAAAGTTCTGATTCCGATCAAAAGTTAAAACACATTACACAGATATATGAGACTGACCTTTTTAAGGCAGCATCCAAGTTAGGTTCTTCTTTATAATTGAAAGCCTCGTCAAACCCGAACTTGTTCCTCAGCAAATCAACCTTAACTCGCTGAAAAGGCATACAAACATATATCATTGAAGTGCTTCAATTGACTCCAGCATGTTGAAGAATAAAAGTAAACGAGTTTAACACATTTGATGGCAATGATGATAAAAAAATTATTGGTCACCAACACCATTTGTACATCAGCACAAGATGTTCTGTTTCATTTTCCAAAATTTGCGAACCACAAAAAATCGTCATACAGACATGTCTTTACAAGAATATTCTGAGTCACAGCTATGAATTGCCAATTAATGTATTAATTCCTAATTTCCTATTGATTACCAAATAGCAATGACTCACCTTTTCTTTGCTTCCAGCACTCCCAACAACATAGCAACCCAACAACTTTGCGAATTGCCCAACAAGTTGACCTACTGCTCCAGATGCGGCCGAAACGAAGACTGTCTCTCCTTTCTTTGGACTGCAGACCTCATGAAAGCCAGCATAAGCAGTTATGCCAGGCATACCTACATCAAACAAATAAATTAGATGGGCCTTGAGCATCAAGCAGGACATATCATGCATATAAATTTTAAGCCTTACATATTACCATAATAAGGGTAATGCTAGGGAAATTAAAATTTTAAACCAAATGATGTGGAACTTGATGATTAGATTATTACTTAACTGTTGATTAATGTGCTTATTTTATTTGGGTGACACATTATTCGGTTTGCAGATTTGGTTTAAAATTTTGGTTTCCTAACTTTATCCTTACCAAAAAGATTTTTCACGACAGTTTAAACTGATTAGGATGGATTAATTTATCAACCACATTCTAGCAGAGAAGAATGGTACAGATCAAGGCAAGCAAGTTACTGCATGACCAATTGGAAAAAAAAATGTTTGATGCCAATCAAGTTCTTACCGCCATAATAATATACTACCAAAGAGTGTCTGAATTGAGCAAAAGCACAAAAATATATATATATATATATATATATATATATATATATATATTATTGCTCTACATCACACCAAACACTATTTTATGATTCCTCATGTCTGCTGGTCACACATTTTCTTGTCACATCTTGTCCTGCGTCTATTGAAAATTGGACTCAAAGTCACTCAAAATATAATAATATGTGACATGTAAATTGGACTGAAGACTACTTCACACTCATTCAAGAGGTTAGGCCCTTATGAGCTTGGCACTTAAATTTCATTAGTCAAATACAAACATATGAGATTAGAGAATTCAGATAGCTAGCTATGTGCGGCAGAAGCAATTTTCCGAAGACATCAACTTCAAAATTGGTGAAAACAGCACTAGAAGCATACCTAGAATTCCAGTATAATAAGAGAGAGGGACATCGATGTCGTGAATCTTAAACAGGGTCTCTGTGGCAGTGATGAGACTATATTCTTCCCACCCAGTCATCCCCCAAACGAAATCGCCTTCCTTAAACTTGGGATCCCCCGATTCCAAAACTTTAGCCACTCCGTATCCGGTTATAGGCTGCCAGTCCACAACATTTCAATATCAATGTGATCAAGTTAGTAGTACTAAATAGGAACAAAAATGGAAGCTGTTTTGTTTGGCCAAGAAAAATGACATTGGTTGGATTACGTTCATCACAAAATTAAAATGCAAGCTTGAATTAGTCTTTGTATATTATTATTTTTCATCATGTCTGCATTACAATTGTACATCAATATATAAGGAGATTAACTCTCCTTGATTTAAGCCACAACAGACGGCTTAGGGAAGATAAACAACAGCTCCTTGAATTAAGGAGTTGACAACTTAGATTAGACTCCTACACAAATTGTTACTGATCACAAGAAAAGAGAACCGACTATTAACCCCTTAGAGAACGACAATACCTAGAAGAAACATACTTGAGTAGTTGCCCTAACCCTTATTGTCCAGTTTTACCGTAACCCATCTTAATATTCAGGAAACCCTAATAAACCATTGGACTACTTCCAATACTCGCCCTCAAGCTGGATCCAAAAGGTTTATGGATCCAAGCTTGGACAGAAGTCGTTGAAACTGATGAGAAGCCAAGGGTTTGATGAAGATGTCAGCCAGTTGATCGAAGCTTCTTGTATAATGGGTCTGAATCACCTGCGACTGTACTTGTTCACGAACATAATGACAGTTAACTTCAATATGTTTCGTCCTATCATGAAACATTGGGTTTGATGCTATATGCATTGCTGCCTGATTGTCACAAAATAAGGACATAGGGAGAGTTGTAAACACACCTAGGTCACACAAAAGACCCTTTAGCCATATTAGCTCACACGCAGTTGAGGCCATTGCACGATACTCAGCTTCGGCATTTGATCTTGCGATGACAGTTTGCTTTTTACTCTTCCATGTGACCAAGTTTCCACCGACAAAGCTACAGTAGCCAGTTGTGGACTTACGGTCGATTGCATTTCCTGCCCAATCAGCATCACAATACCCTATGATTTGTGTGTTCTCATTCTTCTTCACGATGATGCCACGACCCGGACCCACATACCCTTTTAAGTAGCGTAAGATCCTTTTAACAAGGTTCAAATGTTCGATTGTGGAAGAGTGCATGAATTGGCTTATGATACTCACTGAATATGTGATGTCAGGTCTGGTGATTGTTAGGTAGATCAATTTACCAACAAGTCTCTTATAATAGCTTACATTAGTGAGTGGCGTGCCCTCCAAGCTAGGTTTGAACTTGCTATCAAGAGGAGTAATGGCAGGTTTAGCATCGCTCACGTTAGCTTCCTTGAGCAAATCCAGGACATACTTTCTTTGATTAAGAAATAGTCCCTTGTGAGAAGTTGCCATCTCTATGCCAAGGAAATACTTTAATACCCCAAGGTTTTTAATTGCAAACCTTTGTCTGAGTGACTGTTTAAGTTTGAAGATCTCTTCAGCATTATCACCAGTAATTATTAAGCCATCAACATAGATCAACACAACCAATTTGCCCACAGCTCAAGTGCGAACAAATAATGATGAATCAGCATTGCTTCTTTTGAAACCAACACTAGTGAGAACTGAGCTTAGCTTGGCATACCAAGCTCGGGGGGATTGTTTCAGTCCATAAATTGATTTGTGCAATTTGCACACTAAATCAGGCTCATTGCTTTAAGAATGCCCAGGTGGCAATTTCATATAGACTTCCTCTTCGAGATCACCATGCAAGAATGCATTCTTCACGTCCATTTGGTACATGGACCATCCCTTATTAACAGCCACGGACAATAGAACCCTAACTGAGTTCATTTTTGCAATAGGTGCAAATGTTTCTTTGTAATCCACCTCGAATGTTTGAGTGAATCCCCGAGTCACCAACCTTGCTTTATGCCTCTCAATTGACCCATCTGAATTGAATTTGATCTTATAAATCCATTTATAACCCACTATCTTTTTTCCTTTTGGAAATTTTGTGATATTCCAGGTTTTGTGTTGGTCTAAAGCTTGAAGTTCTTCTCGCATTGCTTCTTTCCACACATCTGTGTTGTTAGCCTCATGGAAATTCTGAGGCTCACTGTAGCTTGAAATGGTGCTTAGGAATGCAGCATGAGAGTGAGTCACCTTTTGGTACGACACACAATTGGAGATTAGATGCTTGGGTTTGTAGGTGACGAAGTCGTGAAACCTTGTGGGAGGTTGTCTATCACGCATTGGATTGCGTCGTGGGGCTGTGAGGGTTGTCTCACACTCGTCCATGTCTTGAGACACATTGTGAAGATCATCTTGATTGTCACCATCCTCATGCATTGTACCATCAGAGTGAGTGCTTTCATTGCTACTTTCAGTGAGTGATGCATCAATGTTGACATGGCTGGGACCTCTGTTTGTTGAAGCATCAAGTTCGATTCTTGGTAGAGGAAACAAATCCAAAATACACTCCCCTTGACTTGTGGTTTCAAGTGACTTGTTGTAAAAAGGGTTAATCTCATGAAATCGAACATCTTTAGACACAATCAATCTCCGCAGTTGGGGATTATATCACTTATATGCCTTTTGTGTAGATGAATAACCAAGAAAAATGCATTTAACAGCTCTAGGGTCTAATTTATCTTGGTGATGAGGTTGAATATGTATAAAAAAAAATACAGCCAAAGACTATAAGGTGTGAAAGGTCAATTTTCCTTCCTTTCATGACCTCTAGGGGAGATTTAAACTCCAAGACTCAACTAGGAAGTCTATTGATGATATAAGCAGCTGCCATGACTCATTGGGACCAAAATCTCTTTGGTACATTCATTTGTAGCATTAGTGCTCTAGTGTTTTCAAGTAAGTCACGATTTTTCCTTTCGGTTATGCCATTTTGTTAAGGTGTGCCAACACAACTTGTTTGATGCATGATGCCATGATTGCTCAAATATTGTGTCATGATATGAGATGTGTATTCGGTACTATTGTTAGACATTAAGGTTTGAATTTGAGAAGAGAAATGGTTTTTAACAAGATTATGAAAATCCTTAAATACTTCCATAACTTCATTCTTAGACTTTAAAAGGTACAACCATGTGGCTCTAGAGAAATCATCAACAAAGATTATGAAATACTTATAACCATCAAAAGATTCACTAGTTGGTCCCCATACATCTGAATGAACAAGTTCAAAACTCTTAGTAGCCTTGGATAAGGAAGAGCTAAAGGGTAATCTAGTGGCCTTAGACAAGTGACATGTTTCACATGAAATTACATCCTTCCCTAAGTTTGGAAATAAAGTTGACAAAATGGGTAGAGAATGATGAGCTAGACGTTGATGCCACAATTGGTTATCTTGGATAGAGTTGGACTTGTCTTGAAACCCTATGGGATTGCTTTTTGATATGTAATAGAGACCACCTAGATAAAACCCTTCACCAATTGCCTTCTTAGTGGTGCAATCCTGAAAAATGACATTGTGAGGAGAGAATATGGCTAAAAAATTCAAGGTATTGGTGATTTTTCCCACAGATAGGAGTTGGAATGGAAAGGAATGAACATATAAGGCCACCGACTCAATTTCATCAGACATTAAGTTGATTTTTTCCTTTCCTAACACCTTTGCATTCTCACCATTTGCAATTGAAACTTAAGAAGGTTTTGATAATTTTTCAAACTTATGAAACTTAGACACATGGTTGGTCATATGGTCTGTGGCACCCGAATCTACAACCCAAAAATCATGCAACATATTTACATTAAGAGTAGTTTTGAAAGCTTTCATGATACCTTGCATGTCTTCTTGGGGTATGTGTTCCGTGTCTGCCAAGAAACCCGCAAACTTGCCTAGCAAAGCTATCGAGTTTCTGTCTTCAACACTGTCTATTTGATCACTTCCAGCCCTTCCTTTCTTGCTTTGAAGATACAATGCAAACTCGTTTATGAGTGCAGCTGGATTTGCTGTGAAGTTCTTAAATGTGTTAGACCCATTGGAGGTGGAGGCAAACGTATGGTTGGCTCGGTGTGCAGTGCGGTTCAACCTTTGTAAACCCTTGTTGTCTTTCATGAAATCAGGCTTTAATTCTGGATGCAAAATCCAGCATGTCTCCTTAACATGACCAGTGTAGTTGCAATGTTGGCACTTCAAGTTTGGATGCTTCTATTTGTACTTCCTTTCGTTGGTTAGATAGGCCCTTGCTTCAGATACATTGGCCTTTGTACCAATGTTCATGACCTTCCTCTTTACTTCTTCACATTGAATTGTTACACATACACTGGTGAAGGAAGGAAGTTCAGTGTTCATGAGTATGTGGCTTTGTAGGTCTTCATATTCTAAGTCGAGACTGGACAAGAGTTGAAATATCTTGTCTTCTTCTGCCCTCTTCCGTAGCAAAGCCGCATCGGTTGTATGAGGGCAATATATTTCCAACTCATTCCACATGCTCTTCATGCTACCTAGAAGTTGTACAAAGGGCTTACCTTCTTGTTGCAGGTTGGAGATATCATTCTTTAATTGGAAAACCCGTGCAACATTGTTCTGACTGCCATACATTTCCTTGACAGTCTCCCATAGCTGGTGTGATGATTCAGAGTAACTGAATATTTTAGCTAGTTTATGTTCAATGGAATTCATGAGCCACGACATAACCAGTTGATCCTTGCTAAGCCAGGATTCATAAGTTGGTGAGGAAGCATCAGGAACTTCAATGCTTCCGTTTATGAACCCCAACTTGGACCTTCCACCTAGGGCAAGAGATATTGCTCTCAACCAAGGCAAGTAATTAAACTCATTCAACAAGATTGAGCTTAATCTTTAATTTGGGTTGACATCCACCTCAGGCAAATTCACGGAGGAAAGAACCAGTGAACTTTCAGCTTCAGGCCCAACTGGATTATCTTCAGTCATTTTGAAGGTTGAACACGCTCAGATAGTAGTAAAGCAGAAGCAGGTTAATTTTTCTGCTCTGATACCATATTTATTTTTAAAGATTGTTTTGTATTTTTCATCATGTCTGCATTACAATTGTACATCAATATATAAGGAGATTAACTCTCCTTGATTTAAGCCACAACAAACGGCTTAGGGCAGATAAACAACAGCTCCTTGAATTAAGGAGTTGACAACTTAGATTACACTCCTACACAAATGGTTACTGCTCACAAGAAAAGAGAACCGACTATTAACCCCTTAGAGAACGACAATACCCAGAAGAAACATAGTTGAGTAGTTGCCCTAACCCTTATTGTCCAGTTTTACCGTAACCCATCTTAATATTCAGGAAACCCTAATAAACCACTGGACTACTTCCAATAATTATAGAGCAGAGATATTCAGACACCAAGGGGAAATTGTGAGGATTACGTTCATCTCAAATCCGTCAGCCCCATTTGTAAATATAGAGAAATTAATGCTGACAATTATAAAAGTATAACAAGTTAGGGAGATCAGAGAGGGATGATGAACTGACCGAACCGGGGACGAAGCAGCCGACATAACTGCCGGGTTCGCGCTTGGTCATGCGGCCTCTCATATAAGGGTCGCAGGACAAGTAGAGGTTCTTCACCAGAACCCCAATGGAACCTTCTGGAAGCTTCAGCTCGGTGGTGGCGGCGGTGACTAATTGCATGTCGGATTCTTTAGGGAAGCCGGTGACATAGTTTCTCAATATCACCTGCTTGTTGCTCGTCACTTCCATTTTTTATTCTTTTTCTATTGAATTTGCTTCTCTTGTTACAAACAGAGCCGAATGCGGAATGTTTAAATGCGATGTGAGCAATCAGCAATGTCAAGTTGTCAACGGTATTGGTCGTTTAATTCACCTGTGTCGATGCCGCTTTGCCGACTTGATGTCCGCTTTTCCGTCTTGATGTCCGCGTCTTGATGTCCGCTTTGCCGTCTTCATGTCCGCGTCTTGATGTCCGCTTTGCCGTCTTGATGTCCGCTAGTTAGAGAAGAACCTTGATGAATTTTCAACGTTGGTTGAACGAGGAGACGTCTTTCCAACTCAGAGATGGTGGGGAGCCTCCACGTTATAGTAAGTGTACTTTTCTTCTAATTTGTTTCATCAGATGAATTTTTAACAATTGCACACTAGTAATCAATGAAGAAAATTATGTAGGGTAAATAAGTTATTAATATTGAATTTAATGTAAGGTACATTCAACATTTTGTGGGGTGTTAATATAAAATGCCAATAAAAACCATGCTTTTGTTTTCTTTAAAACAAAAAGGGTGAAAAAATGATGTGTCTAGTATGTTTTGTTTTATTTTTCGAATATCAATGTACCTTTTTTTTTTTGGATGTGATATTCACACACCTTTTTAATTTTCAGCCGTCAGATCGGATGAATTAAAGAAGATCAACGGACAGAAATTAACAAATAATGTGTGGAAAGTAAAAAGGGGTGTGATATCCACACACCCCTTTTTTTATTATTGTTTTGAAAATATTAGTTTACCTACTTAGTACTAATAGTTTTGGTCATTTTGAAAAATAATGCACCTGTTATCAAATTTTTGGATCTGGAAAATAATAGGTAAATTAGTAGACATATTATTGATATGGGTAAATTAGTATAATATTTCATACATGTTTATCATGCATTCCGAGCCTCTATTAGTAGGGATATTATTGATATTTCTCATATAAATGTACTTGTTAGGCATACTATTGGTATTTCTCATATAAATATATTTATTATTAAATCTACAAAATATAGGTAAATTTGTTGGTATAATATATTAATAGTATAGGGGCTCGTTGCCCATCATAATTAGTTCCGGTTTGGTACTGAGGTGATTCTAAAAAAAAATGGCTATAAAAAAAGCTGGGAGCTTTTTATGTTTGGTAAACATTCAACTTCAGCTTTTTTTCACAGTTTTGGGTGAAAAAAAGCCAAAAACACAAAGTTGCAAAACCCAGCTTTGAAAAACTAGCTTTTTTCACATCTGTTTTACATAAAAATTTATCAAACACTATAATATTGCTTTTTTTTTTCAAATGCACTTTTACAAAAAAGTTTACCAAACACTCTACTGCTTTATTTCACAGCTGCTTATTCTCACAGCACAGCAGAAGCAGTTTTTTTTCAAAGCACAGCAATACCAAACCAGTCCTTAGGGTGAGTTATGATAACCTTTATTGACTTAATGAGGGAGTTGTGGCATAAGTTGTAAATATGTTGTAAAAATAGGTCACTTATTTGCCGACATGTCAGTTTATTTGAACATTGGGTTTTATTTAGAGATTTTAATTTATGTGGGTTTTTGTTTATGAAATGCAAATTGCTCGGGCTTATATCTAACGAACTCTTAAAATAATAAATCATGTTTGACCTATGGTTCTTTGGTCCTCTCGATTGGAGATGTATTTTTTTTGTCACATAGCTATGTTTGGCCCCTCGGTTGAAGATGGTAAGAAATATGATCTAACATTGTTTATTAAAATATTATTTTCTTGAAGGATTATAGGATTAAAAAAATCCTCTAACCCTCATTCGGATGGCCTAACTGGCGCCAGGTTCACGCTTGGTCATGCGGTTTCTCATATAAGAGTCACAGGACAAGTAGAGGCTCTTCACCAGAACCCTTTTTGAACCTTCTGGAAGCTTGAGCTGGGAGGTGGCGGTGGTGAGTTGCATGTCAGATTCTTTGGGGAAGCCAGTCACATAGTCTTTCAGTAGCACCTGCTTGTGGCTGATCACTCCTTCTGTACTCGCCGCCATTGATGGATTGATGCTAATTTCTCTTCCTTATCTCCTTTTACTAACTCTCTCTGTCTCTCTCCCTCTCTCTCTCTCTTTATATAGGTGGATCCGAGAAGGGCGATATGAGTGATTTGGAATGGGAATTGGTGTTGAATATAGTCCCATATTAAGAAAATAGAATATAGTCCCATAAGTCTACAGTTCGACTTCTAATAAAGTTTTTTGGAATGACATTTAGTCCCATATTACCCTGAAATTTAATACTTAGAAATTGATGATTAAGTTAGTATAATATTGATGTTTAGGAATGAACTAATGGTCTGTCTCTCTAAATATGTAGCATGATATCAGAGCAGGTTTAAATGTGAGTTTGTGAGTTCTGTGTGCGCTCGAGCTACTAGATTTAATGTAACATGCTTTCATGCTTAAGGTCCGAAGTAAGATTGGTTGCATGTGTGGCTTAGCATGGTCGTCTTACATAAGAGGACGAATTGAATGTAAGTCCTGTTAGGAAATTGAGTAAATAAAAGGGAGACTTTAGATGTGGCTTAGCATGGATACATTTTATTTTAAAAAATGGTAAATTTTACATATAACAAATTGATATATTTAAGAACGGGTACATTTAAGATTAGCAAAAAATTAAAAAATTATATGAATGTACCCATTTAAGATTACAAAATCGAAAATCTTTTTATAAAATTTGATGGGTACAAACTTATTCTAATTTTATCTTTTTTTATTTTGGAAATGTTTTGAATTGAAAATTAATTAGAAGTTTAATAAGGGTGTGAGTATTAAAACCCTAAATTATTACTAATATATATTCTAAAAATTTACATAAATGACATCTATATTCATTAAACATTAATGCTAGGAATTTCAGTCAAAATCTGAAAACTGATTATACCACAGTTAATGAACATTATTAATTAAGAACCGAATACTAATTTTTTTCAAATAATAAATATCGTTTTAATGCAAGTTGCTATACATATAATAATGCCATGTTTACCTAATTAATTATGTGTACTTTGCTAGATACGATGAGAGTGGAAGGGAGGGAATTGGGAACTGGGAAGCACAAGACAAGAGGGGACGAAGAGGAAGTGCTAGTGGCCTGGCTTGGCCTCGTGCGTGAGTCGTTAGACACCCTTTCCCTTTCCCACTTTGACAATTTTATTTTAGGGTAAAAGACCGTTTATTACCCTCATGTTTTGTGATTTGCAACATTTAGTACATCAAGTTTTTTTCGTCTCAGATTCATACCTAAAGTGTAAATTTTGGGACAGTCTCATACATCCGTTAGTCAAACTATTAAATCTGCCGTTAATTGTAACGTGGCGCCCAATGCCGTTAATTGTAACGTGGCGCCATGATTGGGCGCCATGTGTCATCCACGTTTTTTTTTCTTTTTTTTTCTTCTTTCTTCTTCTTCCTTCTTCTGCAACTTTTTTTTTCTTCCTCCTTCTCCTTCTTCCTTCCTCCTTCTTCCTTCCCCTTCTTCTTCTTCTTCCTTCTTCTTCCTTCTCCTTCTTCTTCTTCTTCCTCCGAATCTGGGGAAGTTTTTTTTTTTGACCTTTTTTTTTCCTCTTCCTCATTTTTCCTCCTTTTCCTCCTTCTTCTTCTTTCTTCTTCTTCTTCTTCTTCTTCCTCCGATTGCAACCTTTTTTTTTCTTCCTCCTTCTTCTCCTTCTTTCTTCCTCCTTCTTCCTTCCCCTTCTTCTCCTTCTTCATTTTTCTTCTTCCTCAAATTTGGGGAAGATGAAGGTTTTTGTTTTTTTTTGTTTTTGAGGAAGATGAAGAAGAAGGAAGAAGGAAGAAGGAAGAAGGAAGAAGGAAGAAGGAAAAGAAGGGGAATGAAGAAGGAGGAAGGAAGAAGGAGGGAGGAAGAAGGAGAAGAAGAAGGAGGAAGAAGGAGGAAGAAGAAGAAGTAAGAAAAAAAAAAGTTGCAGTCGGAGGAAGAAGAAGAAGAAGAAGGAAGAAGAAGGAGGAAGGAGGAGGAAGAAGAAGAAAGAAGAAAGAAGAAGAAAAAAAAAACCTTCATCTTCCCCAGATTCGGAGGAAGAAGAAGGAAGAAGGGGAAGGAAGAAGGAGAAGAAAGAGAAGAAGGAGGAAAAAAAAAAAACCTTCATCTTCCCCAGATTCGGAGGAAGAAGAAGGAAGAAGAAGAAGAAGAAGGGGAAGGAAGAAGGAGAAGAAGGAGAAGAAGGAGGAAGAAAAAAAAAACCTTCATCTTCCCCAGATTCGGAGGAAGAAGAAGGAAGGAAGAAGAAGGAAGGAGGAAGAAAAAAAAAAAGTTGCAGTCAGAGGAAGAAGAAGAAGAAGAAAGAGGAAGAAGGAGGAAGAAGAAGAAAAAAGAAAAAAGAAAGAAAAAAATTCCTCAAATTCGAAGGAAGAAGAATGAGAAGGAAGAAGAAGGAGAAGAAGGGGAAGGAAGAAGGAGGAAGGAAGAAGGAGAAGGAGGAAAGAAAAAAAAAAGTTGCAGAAGAAGGAAGAAGAAGGAAGAAGAAAGAAGAAAAGAAAAAAAAAGAAAAAAAAAAGAGAAAAAGAAAATTAAAAAAAAAACATGGATGACACGTGACGCCCAATCATGGCGCCACGTCACAATTAATGGCAGATTTAATAGTTTGACTAACGGATGTATGAGACTGTCCCAAAATTTACACTTTAGGTATGAATCTGAGACGAAAAAAACTTGATGTACTAAATGTTGAAAACCACAAAACATGAGGGTAGTAAACAGTCTTTTACCCTTTATTTTAATTCAAAAATGTCGAGATGGCTGGCCGCATAAATCTATCTTTATTTCGGATCTTGATGGATGGATCGATCATAGATGGATGCGTTCGGCTAATAATATTTAGAGAAATAATAAAGAAGTTCTCTTAAAAATGGGACTATTTATATAAATTAAAAAAAATTAAAAATAAAAGTCCACATATATAATTATAAAAGCAAGGGCAAAGGTGGATTATATGTTTGTTTGTATATATGGATAGGAATTTACCCTCCCTCCCTCGAGTAAATTTTTGTTGTATTATTAAGAGACCAAATTTTTAAACAAAATATGTAACTCAAATGATATAGTTGTAGATAATTAGATTATTAATTAAGTGTGTGTGTGTGTTTTTTTTTTTGTACAAACGATATAATCTACACTAAAGGGAAGAGGGGTAGGCTAAGCCTCACAATGAGCTAACAATAATGTGGTTCAAATTCGCTTTTGGCAAGAATTGAACGTAAAACCTTTTACTTACAAGTGAAGAGGAATACCACTAGATCGTAGTATTAAGTGGCACTTAAATGTATGTTAACATGTTTGTTTTTTATCAATGACGCATCATTTAGTTTGATGATTAGTTTAAAAATTTAATCTCTTCAACCTTGGCTATTATCAAATGTGAGAGCAAGTCTAGCGGGGGCTTGTGCCCAATGGACCGTGGATTGCATAGGACCCAATTGTTGGGGCAATGAACTCTAGCCCATTCTGGCTTCAACACCAGAGAGGGCTCGAGGGACAGGCCCGACACAAATTGGTGGTCCGAGAGCCCAAGGTGGACGTGATACAAGGGTGACATCAGCCACAATAAAAAAATTAATAAAAATATAAAATATTAATAAAAATGTAAAAAATTAATAAAAAAAATAAAAAAATAAAAAAAAAATCCAAAAAATAAAAAAAGATTTAATTTTTGGGATCTTTCAATATGGGTCCAATTTTATAAGGCTATTTGAAAGGAGTCCACTAGTATTACATCGTCCAAGGTGGGGCCTAGCAAGTGTAATATATCTCCACGTCAGTTATTTAGATGTCCATAATTTTCAAACGAATTACAGCACTTGCCACCGTGTAGTTTTTGAAATGAATTTGCCATATTCCGACGATTTTGGGGGTGCTGAGTTTATCTCATCGATTCCAATGATTTTGAAAAAAAATCTTCCCGATTCCTGCTTGTATAATTCAAATTCGAATTATGAGATGGATAAATATGATTCCTGCAAACAATCAATGCAGGCAGAAGTTTGGGTTTTAAAGGATATTCATACCTGGCGAACTGGTATGGTAATATGCACCTGTTTTATCTATTCATCCCTTGTTGTTAGTTGCTTTTGTTGTCTACCTATATGAGTGGAAGGAAACCATACTTTCCCTATTAGGGTGGAAGTATAGATTATATATGCACTTGATTTGAGACATTTTTTTTATGTGAAATTGGGTTTATAATACTGATTCGGGCTAAAGATATTTAAACCAGGATCAATAGAAGTTTGAGCCTTAATTTTTTAAATACGCGTTAATTGGGTTGGTGGGTTTTGTAGAACAAGTAGCTTAATAGCACCTTTTGTTGGTTGTGTCTTAGTTGTTGTTGTCTACCTATAGGGTGGAATCAAAGTAAACTACCTGTGTGAATTGAATTTTTTGTATCTATTTACGTACTTGAATGGGTGGAAAGTTATTGTGTTTTTTCTTTGATCTGGGAATTGAGTTTTTATAACTGATTTGTTGTTGTCTACCTACATGGGTGGAATGAAAACAACAAATAAAAACGGAAAATTTCAGGTGCTTAGAAAATTACAATTTTTTTTAGCAGTGCATTGGTGATTAAAAGCAATATTAGCCCTTTGTATCTCATTGATTATCAGAGAAGACAACATGAGCTTGAAGAACATAAAACAGAAAGGATATCAGTAATCCAAATTCAAAAATTATTATCAAGATATCGTACAATAGAAGATGACCAAAACTGAAGAACGAATTTTTTTTTTATGGATAATTAAAGATGAATATATACAAAATTTGAATGATGATATAAAGAACATGGAAAAATAGGAGGGTAAAATAGTAATCACAATGCAAACAAATCAACTTAATCAGAAAAAATGCTAACTAGAGTCCTAGTCATTGGATCTAAATAGAAAATAACAAAAAATTGGACTAATCTTAATATTGGGCTATAAAATTGGACCTATTTCAAGTTACCCTTTAATTTTTCTATAAATATGTTATCATTATCTTCCAACTTACATCATAATTTTATATTTTCTCAAATACTTTGGGTTGTAATTTCTTATTTAATGACATGTGGTACAACGAGACTGATTAAAAATCATATCCAAAATTACAAATAAAATTATTTTTTATTATTTTATAAAATAAAAAATATTAATATTTTATTACTTATTACCATGATTATTCAGTGTAAGGATGGTTTGCCCTAGAAAGCTTTTCCAACGGTAGAGTTGCCCTTATATTCTCGGTGTCTTGGACTCTCATAGAACTGGAGGCGATTTATTTGACACAGTCAGCAGTATCTGATCGACTACTCCACTGTTGACAAGAACGAGATAGCTAGATTCAATATTTCTAGCTAGCTAGCTTATAGGAGTTGTAAGTTTCATTCAAATTAAACGATCGACCAGCATATATATATTTACCATCACGTCACGTACTGCTACTTTAACTTTTACAATAATTTTACCAATATTTAACACCACTTGACAGTTGACACGCACAGAAAATACCGCATCATGGCAATTATTGTGAGAATATGAAGGTAATAAATTGAAAAGACAAATTTTGAAAAGGTTTATAAGAAGTTGAGTTACTTACTGTATTATTAATTAATTTTATAATGAAAATTTAATGTTGTTTATGATATTAAAGCAATTTAGCCCGTGACCAGCATATATAAATATATATATATATATATATTACCATCACGTCACGTACTGCTACTTTAACTTTTACAATAATTTTACCAATATTTAACACCACTTGACAGTTGACACGCACAGAAAATACCGCATCATGGCAATTATTGTGAGAATATAGGTCGTACCCAGTGCACAAGGCTCCCGCTTTACGTAGGGTCTGGGAGAGGTGAATGTCGGCTAGCCTTACCCCCATTTATGGAGAGGCTGCTCCCAAGTCTCGAACCCGAGATCTACCGCTCATGGGCGAAGGCACTTGCCACCGCACCAAGTGCGACCTCTTAATTATTGTGAGAATATGAAGGTAATAAATTGAAAAGACAAATTTTGAAAAGGTTTATAAGAAGTTGAGTTACTTACTGTATTATTAATTGATTTTATAATAAAAATTTAATGTTGTTTATGATATTAAAGCAATTTAACCCATGCGTGAAGCTCAATATCCACACGTGCTTAATTTAATCCAATTTTTGTTGTCCACGTATTTGGCTTGAAAGTTCGTCACATATAAGATGGTGTATGAGAATATGAAGGTAAAATATTCCTACATTAATAAAAGGAAAAACCTTATAAAAGTATATAGGAGTTTTGGCTACTCTGCATTTTGCCAATTAATTTTGTTGTGGAACTCAACTTCCTTCAATTAGGATATCAACAAGGCATGATCTGGAAAGTTGAATGTATGCGCTGCATGCTAACACCAAATTATGAACAAGTACAATTTCAACGCGCCGGCCGAGTCTACTCTACTCATCTCTCTCTCGTCTGAACTATATATTCTATTCCATTTGCTGTGCGGCATACATATATGTGTGTGTGGCGGCAACAAACACATCTTAATTTCTCATTCCTCTTCCGCATCACCTACGACTTGCCCAATTAACGAAGCCATTTCCAGTTTGTAATGAATGCAAGTCCAAATCCCATCATATTACACTAACTGCGCATCTTTTGGAAATGAACCAGCTGCTTCTATTACAAGAAACCTAGGCTCCCACACCTAGCTTGCGGCTACCCGCGTGATTAATTTCTTCAACCGATCACGGCCAGCCTTCAGGTAATTTGTACTTCCCACCTCAACAACCAGTATGTAAATGTTTATTTTGTTGTATAGATTTATGCATGTGTCAGTTGTATAACTAGATAGAGATGGAGGTGGTATTATACCCAATACATTAGCTAACCCTGTCAGAGAATCACACACACACACACACATATATATATATATATATATATATATATAGAGAGAGAGAGAGAGAGAGAGAGAGAGAGAGAGAGAGAGAGAGAGAGAGAGAGAGAGAGAGAGAGATTAAATATTGGCAGGTGGTTAATCTTTCAAACTCGCGCATCCCTTCTAAGTCGGCCGGCTGACAATACTCCACTAGCTACTTGGCTAGTTTTAAACTTCAACTGAAGTATATACTGTATATAATGGTTAAGGTAATTTTACTGTTGGTTTTGAATGATGATTATAATAGACTGATCGATTTTATAAACTAAACCAATTTGATTTGTCTGAAATTAGGATGCGTTTGCTGAATGACAGTGAATCGTGGTTATCATAAACACATATATATATATATATATATGAACTTTTTAACTATATATTGCTGGCTTCCAATGCATTTATATATATTATCTTCCAACGTATTATATAAAGGCCTTGTTTATAGTTATCCGTACCCCCACGCTACTGGTTGGTTAGGCAGTATCTTTTGAGTCACGTTAATTGAATAAGGTGGAGACAAATTTCATTGACTTGATTCTGGAGTAGGTGTGCAAGTTCCACAACGCAGTACTCTTTGTTTTATTATTATTGAAGATTTGTTTAATTAGCTAGCTTCTATTGTTTAGTTAATCTGCAGTTGTCCAGACTTTTATTAATGAGAGAGAGATCCACCAAGGCAAAAAATACTATAGTTGCAAGAAATAGAAGGAAAGTGAATCCTTTTTTTTTTGTCATTTTTTCGTCTATGACTTTTAAAAATTTTAATGAGCGTATCTCATTCATCGACTCTATATGCCTTCATTAATTTATAAATAGATGCTAAAATGACAGATGAATTGACTTGTAGGTGAAGGACCAAGCCTGTCAACTTGCACTTAGTTATTGCAGTGATTGCTATATAAATAGTGGAACTCAAGTCTCAAGTTTCATCAAGCCTCCCACAACCAATTGTATATCACATGGAAACCTTATTAGACCATTCCAGCATGCATAATAAACAAGATGATCACCGGCAGCTTCCTTATGAGATTGTGGAGGAAATTCTGCTGCAACTGCCGATGAAGTCCCTCCTTCGTTTCAGAAGCGTATGCAAGCCATGGCTTGCTCTCATCTCCGACCCAAAATTTGTCAAGTCACACCTCCTTATCCGCTCTACCAAACCAGATGTCGATGACCATGATTGTGATCATGATCATGATGCTCATGGCAAAACTACATCGTCAAGAGCACGACTCATGCTCTCCACTTTGCCCCTCCTTCAGTCCGTCCACGTACATATTCTCAATACCACTACTATTGATGCACCTGCAACGGCACCCTTGCCATCCCCTGGCGACGGTGAAGCAGAACCTATAGCAGAAGCAAAGGCAGAAACAGAAACAAAAGAAGAAGCAGCTGGCACAACTAGTGCTAATACTACTACTAAGGTTGTGGAGGAGGAGCATGAGTACCCTGTGACAATGAGGCGGCCTGTCGAAGACATGAAGATTGTCGGCTCTTGTAACGGCCTTGTGTGTTTGGTGCTTGCCTCGGAAGATATGATGATTTATAATCCATCCACCAGGCACGTTCATGCAGCCCCAAAGTTGATGACAATCTCCGATAAGGATTACTTCTATGGCTTCGGTTACGATTTGTGCAAGGACGATTATAAAATAGTAAGGGCCACTTCTTCAAGTAAGGCTGGCATTTTCGCCACCCAACTTGACATTTATTCTTTGAAGAACAATACTTGGAAAGCCAGAGCCGAAACCCTACCTTTTTACTTTCTGTTCAACGTGGTCGGAACTTTACTCAACGAGGCTCTCCACTGGGCAGTTCGCCGTGGAAAGACTACCGATCAAGTTGCCGCAGACGGTGATGATGAGAGGCCTTTCTCTATTGTTTCTTTCGATATAACGGAGGAGACGTACCGGCAAGTTCCCCTACCGGGCGACGGGGACAAAAAATTCTCGTTCTATGGTTTGGGGGTTTTAGGAGGGCGGATGAGTATGCTCCACAGCCCTCATGGGTCTGATTATCAGGTGTGGTTAATGAATGAGTATGGGGTCAAGGCATCTTGGTCTATTTTCACTACCATTCCGCAGAAGATGGATTCTGAATACCTAGGGCTGATGTCACTTCTGAGTATTTTGAGCAACGGTGAAATTCTAATCCTCTTGCATCAAAGGAAACTAGTCATTTACAATCCGGCAGACAGAAAGTTTCGAACCGTATTCTCCGGAGATGTACACTCTTCTCAAGTGGCTTTGTACATGGAGAGCCTTGTTTCACCCACCATGAAATACTCCATGATCAGCTAGTTGATCATATTATCACCTACTTAATTAAAGACAATCATCAGTAATCACAAGGATGAAAGAAAGAAGAAGATCAGGCTATTTAATATAATTTGTATCTTCCTCATTATTTCACTTCCAACGTTGCCTGGATTGTATGCTTATGAGTTGAATTTCATTTTAGAGAACTTTCATTTAGCCCAATGGAGGACTTGTAAAATAGAGATTCTCTTAAACATGTCCAAAAGCCCAATAGACATCACCTTTTAATACTGTTACTTTTTAAAATAGAGATTCTCTTAAACATGTCCAAAAGCCCAATAGACATCACCTTCTAATAGTGTTACTTTTTAATCATACAATTGCGTTGTATTGTGATTGAAGAAAGTTGAAGTTTAAAGATAAAAATTAATTGATAATGTAGAGAGTATCTTGCCACTTAGTACTATTTAGTGGTATTCCTATTCAGTTGCAAGTTAAAGGTCTTAGGTTCAATTCTTGTCAAAGGTGAATTTAAATCACATTATTGTTAGTCTATGTGAGGCTAAACCGACTCTCTCCTCCTCCTAGTATAGATAATATCGTCTTTAAAAAAAAAAAAATATATATATATATATATAATATTATTTGTTAAAAAAAATATAGATAATATCATCTGTTAAAAAAAAAATATATATATATATATATATATGTAATATTGTTTGTTAAAAAAAACAGGTTAATCTCAGTTTACTACCCCAAAGTTTATTGGTTTTCAACATTTCGTACATCAAGTTTTTTTCGTCTCAAAATGCTACCTAAAGTCATAATTATGGGACAATTTCATACTTCTGTTAAGCTGTCTATTAAAATAAACGTTAACTTGTGACGTGGCGCCTACGTGAATAGTGACTGGACACCATGTGAAAATTAAAAAATTTTAAATAAAAAACAAAAAAATTTAGAAGTTTGAAATTTAAAAACCTAAAAGCTAAAAAATATTTTAGCAGAATCCACACCCCAATAAAAAACCCAATCCCAGATTTCCTTCGAAACCCTACAACAGCCCCGTCGTGAAGTCGTCGATCGCCCTCGTGAAATCGCCGTTCCCATCGGACAGCAGCAGCACCTCGTTGCAGATCACACAGCTCGCATCGAGGTAGGAGAGGGTCGCTTGCCGTCGAGGTAGGAGAGGGTCGCTTCGGGACGCTTGTCGCAGACGGCGATGGTGGCGGAGATGGATTTGAAGGGGGCGGTGAAGAAGCGGATGAGGGGAGTGTAAGAGATTTTGGAGGAGAAGGATTTGGGTGAGAAGAGAGATGTTTTGGGTGCGGCAGCGGTTGTGATGGTGGAGAAAACGAGGGATTTGGGGGCTCTGAGGAGCCTTGAGATTGTAAGGGAGGCTGCCATTATGGTGGTTTGAGCTTTAGAGTGAGAGGGTGAGACTATGTGAGGGAGATAGGAGAAAGAGAGTAGATTTGGTGGCGGCTGAGGCTGGAAGTGTTGTGACACAGGGGAGGGTTGGTTTTGATGGGTGAGGAGATAGAAAACTCCGCCGGAGCCCGATTGAGGTACCGATTGCTGATTTCAAAGATGGCCGAGACATGGAGGCGACGACTGGTCAACGAATTTGGCCACGATTTTTTTATGACGAATTTGAGTTTATGTCAAACATGGTTTAATTTAATTTATGGGATGTGGGTTCTTGGATTAATTGGTGTGTTGATTTTCTACAAATTGTTTGCAGTTTAATAATTGAAAAACATGAGCAACAGAAGACGAAGAAAGGATAGGAAAGATGGAGGACTGCCAGGCTCGGGACGACGACTTCAAATTTTTTTTTTTTTTTAAATCTTATTAAAAAAATTATTTTTCACATGGCGCTAGTCACAGTCCATGCAGACATCACGTCACAGCTTAACGCCTATTTTATAAGACAACTTAACGGAAGTATGAAATTGTTCTATAATTATGACTTTAGGTATCATTTTGAAACGAAAAAAACTTGATGTATGAAATGTTGAAAATCAAGAAATTTTAGGATAGTAAATCTTTTTAAGCACATGCAATAGGTCCCTTCTTTTCATTTTGTGGGATTCACACTATCAACACGTCATTCATGAGTGATGAAATTTTAAGCATAATACGTGGACAATACAATTTAAGTGACATAAAGGACATATGCCTGTTTGGTTTCACAAATTAATTATATGATGAAACCTCAACTTTATTTCGTAATAATAAGTTTTCTGCACAACCAAATTAATTATAAAACGTGGTGTGAATTAAAATGCAGTAACCAAAATATCCCAAGTCGCGTCTGTTAAAGAAAAAGGTAAAGATGTAGTAAAAATCCAAGTCGTCTGTTTAAAGCCAATTTGATAACATCCCTTTCTTTTCCAGCATAATACAACGAATTCAATTCAACTCACATGAAGGTTTCCAACCTTCTTCTCTCCTCTTTCTTCCTGTTTTCAAAATTTGAAGAATATTCTAAGTCAACATATAAATTCAATAATTATCGAAAATTCAAACAAAATTGAATGGATATAAAAATTTCTATTAAAATAATTAAATAAACTCATGGGCAGGAGTTTAAAAAAGAAGTACAGGCATGGAGTATAACTGTAAAACGGTGAACAAAAGAAAGAATGACGAAGGAAAACAACCATTTGAACTGCTTTTGTAAGGGAAACAACCATTTGAACTGCTTTTGGAAACAAACATAGGAAATAAAATTAAAACTGCTTGTTTAAATGCATAACTACTCAGTTTAGAGATAAATAGCAAGGATGTTCGCATGTTGCTGCCAGTTTTAAAACCGTATAAAACATGTAAAAGAGTTTTAACTATATAAATAGATATCTACTGAGGGACAAAATACGTGTCCAATGGTGGAGTACTATTTACATAGATGTGAAAATTTATTTGCAACCTTATTTACAATGAGGAACCGAATAGTCCAAAGACAGTAATATTTACATACGTGAGTAACAAAGTAGGTGTCTAAGGGTGGGGTTCTGCGTTAGGTAGAACCTTCTTCTTTCTTATTACATGTAAATTTTCTTTTGACTGTTACATTACAGATTGGAAAAATGGAAGTTGTTAATGTAAATAAATGACAGTCTTTTGTCTCTCAAATTCTATGTTTGTACTCCAAAATTATCCACAAAAAAAAAAAAAAATGAAACCTACGTGCATATAATGTTGTAAACTCAACAGTTGATATGTTTGTTCACACAACTTATGGCACTAATTAAAAGTGGTGTACCAACCACAATGACAAAGTAAAGAAACTTAAACAAATGAATAGTATATGTTGTGAAGAGGCTGCAAAACTTGCAATAGTCAATCGAAGGAGTACCATTCAAGATTCTCATCTATGGATACCCACTCGTCTAATAAAGCGGGCATAGAACTACAGAAACCTTTGAATAATTTTCACCAAGCGAAAAGATTTACACTGTTTTCAATAGCGATTGTTTTTTTTAAGGGAACTTTAATAAAAAGCTTCCGGTACTATTCACTTTAACGAAAAACCAAATTTTTACACTCCTATTCACTTTACCCTTTATTTTGTCTTTATCGTTAAAACTCAAAGTTTTCAAGCCATTTTCATTAGTTTTTTTTTTTTTTAATCTTTTTTTATTTTTATCACGAAGATAACTTTCATTAAAATAAAAATTAGTACAAGGTCAAAAAAGAGACGGGTAAACAACTACAAAGAAAGTAAAAAGCCCAAGCAAAATAAGAGTAACAACCCAAAATACAACAGGAAATCCACATAAACTTAGGCCCGAAGGCCGCTGAAAACAAACAATAAAAAAACCCTAATCTTCAGCAACAAAGACCATATCGCCGCTGCCGTCACATCCTTAGAGGAAACCAAACTCCGAACCGAGAAAATAGACACCAGATTCAAGTCCCATTCACGAACCCCTGCAAAAATATACAAACAAAGTAACATATGGGAAGAAGGTGAGTCTAAGGGAGTGTGTAACATACCCAACACTAGGCCTCGATGGGGTTCAGGATGCCGGTTGGGGGACGGGAAGTGAGGGAGGGAAGTGGATCTGATATCCAATTTGTGATCAGAGCCTGTTAATCCGAGCACATGGTGGTATGGGGATGAGGTATCACATCTGAAAAGGGAGGAAGAGAAATTAAAAGACAGAAAGTAGTAAAAGCAGGTGAAAAACGCCGGATAAGGGGCATGAAGCCCATGATAGTTGAGACTCGGCTCAAGGAAAACTGAGATTAACCTCAGGGAAGAATTGAAAAATAAAAAGGTAGGGAGAAAACTAGAAAAGGTGAAGAAAGAGGAGGAGGGAGGCTGGGAGGGGGAGGAAAAAATAAGAGAACCTGAGAAAACTTAGGAGGAAACAAAGAAGGGAGAGAGAAGGAAGGATGCCTCCGGCACCCAAGCCAAAGGCTAGGGTCGGTGGCGAAGTTGCTGGGAAATTATTTCAAATAGAGAATTTTAGAGAGAAAAAGGAGTACACTTTTTAGAGGAAGCTGTTGCTTCTATATATATTGAAACTTAAAAGATTACCAAAACACTGACATAAATTGAAGGGACCCAAGTCAGTGGGATTGAACGTTTTGAAGTAATCTCTTGATGAGGCTGCTCCATCTCCATATACTGAAGTTAGAATGACCAAACTACCCCCAAATCATGTCCGATGATCTGGATTGAAGCATGCAAAAGAGTCATTATCCCAACCCACGACACAGCCCACTTGGGGCCTAAACGCAGCAGCCCAAACCCGTTTGTTTTTGGTGATGAAGGACCTAAACGCAGAAACCCAATGACAAAACCGTGAATAATTCAAAATCAACTCCTTAATGAATAGTGCAATTTCATCTCCAACTTTATACTATAGTAATTATCATCTTCTACTTTTTTAATTTTTTTTTTCTTTTCAAATTGATGTGTTCAGTTATGTTTTTCTTAACCGTGTTGTCGTCAATTTTTTCTTTGTTTTTCGATGACCTCTAATCAAATGAAAATTTTGTGATCATCCTCTGGTATTAGATAATTTAGATTATTCGTCACTTTGCACAAACGATGTCGGCAAAAAACAGATGTAGCAAATTAATTAAAAGACGTCTTCATCATTCATCAGGACATGGACATGTAACCCTGTGCTGACACCAGCGCTCACATCACACGCTTGTGTTGACACCAGCGCTGACAAAATCGTATGTGAGTAAGCACTGAGCCTATTACCATCACTTTACCATTATTCATATATATAAAATATATATATATATATATATATATGTCTCACATCCTCTCCCAGTATATGTATCTAAATTTCTCATCTTCAATTAATATTTCTGGTTTTTCTCTAATTTTAGGAGACAGAGAGTTAGAGAGAGAGAGAGAGAGAGGTGAAAGAAGTTAATTAATTAGTAGATTAAGGAATGGCAGGAAATTATGGTAATGATCGTGAACGTGAAGAGGGGGAAGTGATCAGGAACCAGCAAGTGCTGGCCAGAGATTACATCGGTGCGATCCCCAAGGAGTCGGACATGTACTTGAACACAAGCAACATTAAACTCAAGGTGCCTGCAGCAGATGAATATGCTGGCGCCATTTTGGTGAAGAATCTCTATTTGTCGTGTGATCCCTACATGCGAGGCGTTAAGCACAGAGATGCCTCTACTAATGCCCAGGATCGCATTGTTTTCTTTGCCGCCGACCAAGTGAGTAATCACGTTACTTGCTTAATTTTTGAACCAACTATATTATCTATACTATAAGAGTGGAGGGTTAGCTTAGCCTCATAACGGATTAGTAATAATGTAATTCGAATTCGTATTTGGCAAGAATCGAACCTAAGACCTTTTAACTTATAAATGAAGAGGAATATCACTAGATCGTAGTATTAAGTGATCATTATTCGCTTAATTAAACATTGCTTTTCTTTTTCTTATTACGGAACTAATTAATATTCCTTTAAACGTTCTACCAGCCAATCGTTGGATATGGAGTTTGTAAAGTTGTAGATTCTAAGCATCCTGACTTCAAGGCAGGTGATTTAGTTTGGGGCATCACAAAATGGGAGGAGTACACTCTCATCACTAACACTGAAAGTTTCTTCAAAATCCACCACACCGATGTGCCCCTTTCCTACTACACTGGAATTCTCGGTACGTGTACATGTAATTCACTCATTCAGTTTTATGGTACTTGTAACTCTACTAATGACGCCTTTATATAGGTATGCCTGGCATGACTGCTTATGCTGGTTTCTACGAAGTTTGTAAACCTAAGAAAGGAGAAAAAGTGTACATCTCATCCGCTTTTGGAGCTGTTGGTCAGATCGTCGGCCAATTTGCCAAACTCATGGGTTGTTATGTTGTTGGAAGTGCTGGAAGTCAAGAAAAGGTGCCGAGTCTGCCGACCCTAATCTAATCCACTTAGTTATTTAATCACAAGTTATCTTTTGAATACGCGCTTGCGTAATTTTTTTATCTATTTGAGCTGCATATATATATATATATATATATGGTTACTAATTACATTCAGTACTTGTGCTTATTATTCTCCAATATTTAGGTTGATATGTTGAAAAAGAAGTTTGGATTTGATGAGGCTTTCAATTATAAGGAAGAGCCTGACTTGAATACGGCTTTGAAAAGGTTGGTTTTTACGATAAACAATGACACAAATAATTAAGGACTGCACTCATCATGCACATATTAAACTAATAACAGAAGTTAATAACTGACAAATTAGTCAATTATTCATGTTGATGTGTGGTAGGTATTTCCCAGAAGGCATTGACATTTACTGGGAGAACGTTGGGGGCAAAATGCTCGATGCAGTGCTCATGAACATGAGACTTCATGGCCGCATTGCCGTGTGCGGGATGATTTCACAATACAATATCGAGGAGCATGAAGGAGTCCACAATTTAATGCATCTGATTTACAAGCGAGTTCGTATGGAAGGTTTTTTTGTGTTTGATTACTACCACCTGTATCCCAAGTTCTTGGATCTTGTGGTGCCCTACATCCGAGAAAACAAGATCACTTATGTGGAAGACATGACTCAAGGCCTTGAGAATGGTCCTGCATCCCTCGTTGGCCTTTTCTCCGGCCGTAATGCCGGAAAAGGAGTTGTTCTTGTTGCTCGCGACTAATCTCTATATAATTCCTAAATCTAATTTTTCCACGAGTTGTGTTATTGTTAGTAAATTTGGTTCAATTTCAATCAGCTGTTTGTTGTATTTACTTGATTTTGTTTAATGAGTGTTGATGTTTCCTGCTTAATGGGAAACAAAAAGTGTCATTGTGTTTGTTGGTAATCATACTCGTGCAACTTTGAACACCTTTTACTTTCCCTAGATAGTTTATTTTTAAAGGAAAATTTTAGCAATGTCTCTCAATTTTAACCCAAGCGATGATCCCTCAACTTTATTTATGTGACTATTCATCTTAAAATGTGCAACTATGATAATTTCCGTCTACTCAGTCAATATTTCCGTTAAACCCAGTCATGTGTGTGGCACGTGTAAGGGCAAATAAGGAAACATAATTTCACAAGGGTTGAAGTCGATGGAACGGAGGGAGCAAAGGGGGCTGGAGGTTACGAAGAAAAACATCTCCAATTGAAACTTCCTCCGTGCCCAATTGAAACTTCCTCCATGCCAAATCTCATATACTAGTGCATTAAAGCCGTATCCTCTTCCACACTACATTGATCGTCCATACCCTCTTCGAATCCACCAATATTTTGCAGAAAACTAGTCAGTTTTTGTTGTCGTTTTCCTTCACTAAAAGCTGATTATTGCCATACATGGTGCGAATTTGAAGAATATGAGATTGGCCATGAAGGAAGTTTAAATTGGTGACGGAGGAAGTTTCAATTGGAGATGTTTCCTTCCAAGTTCCAATCAATTGGAGATGTTTCCTTCCAAGTTCCAACCACCTGCTCCCTATGCATACATTCGATCGACTTCGACCCTTGCGAAATTATGTTTCCTTATTAGCCTTTACACGTGCCACGCACGTGACAAGTTTAACGAAAATATTTGCGCATTTTGACAAGTTAAAGAATCAATAATCACATAAATAAAATTAAATGACTATTGCTGCAATTGAGTTAATATTAGTAACTTTGCTAAGATTCCCTGAAAAGAAAAAAACGAAGAAACTTGTGATATTGAATCAGCAAAATGGTTGGAATGGAAATGTCTCGACTCTCCTCGTGGATTCGCGGACTTAATTTGTTCTCATCTCACACGTGTCAGGAATATAATCACACAGCGTCTCCGGGCTAAGAGCGCTGCATTACGCCATGGCCTACGTGCAGTCTACCCCCTATAAACCACCGCTTCCGAATCCATCGACTTGGAATCAACCATTGAGGCAGCAGCAGCACTGCTCATTTCGCCCTCCGCCTACAGAGAGAGTTAGTAAAAAGAGAGACAAGGAAAAGAAAACAGCAATAATCGATCCAATGGCGGCGAGTACAGAGGGAGTGATCAGCAACAAGCAGGTGCTACTGAAATACTATGTGACCGGCTTCCCCAAAGAATCTGACATGCAACTCATCACCGCCACCACCAAGCTCAAGCTTCCAGAAGGTTCCATAGGGGTTCTGGTGAAGAACCTCTACTTGTCCTGCGACCCTTATACGAGATTCCGCATGACCAAGCCTGAACCTGGCGCCGGTTATGTCGATTCCTTCAAACCCGGTTCGGTCAGTCACTACATCTATATTATCTTATCTCTCTCTATTTATTTTATTATTTTAGTGTAATTTCTTCTTTTTAACTATCTGCCTCTACAGCCCTCAGTAATACGGCGTGAGAGGTCTTGGATCTATTATCGTCTTTGAACATTATTATTGCTAGCATGAGGTTTGATTCACTATTTCACCTTTCAACGTAGATAATATTATTTGTTTAAAAAAAGTAAATAAAAAACTATCTGCTTCTACAGTCTGTGCCTGCCTTAATAATAAAAAACTATCTGCTTCTATATTCACTTCCTTGTGATCTATCATGTAATACTAGACTAGTATTAATTAATGTGGCTATTAATCACGTCGGATGGTTAGCCTCATTTTTAGAAGTCCCTTGACCCTCGGAAAGTGGCAAGCCCTGTTAGCTTGGGTCACTCTTTTTGTTGATGTTGGGATATTGAAATGCTGTACTTTCTCTTTATATACCGTTGGATATTGAAATGCTGGTATGGCAGCCTATAGGCGGATATGGAGTTGCCAAAGTTTTGGAATCCGGGGATCCCAAGTTTAAGCCAGGCGACTTCATTTGGGGAATGACCGGGTGGGAAGAGTACAGTGTTATCACTGCAACAGAGTCTTTGTTTAAGATTCAGCACACTGATGTGCCTCTCTCTTACTATACTGGAATTCTTGGTATGTTGCTATATATTGGCTATTGCTATCTCCCCGCCTTTGGATTTATTTCTTTTAAAAATTGCTCTGCCACAAGCAGCTATCTCAAGTCTTGTGTCTTTTATGATGGTACTTGAGTTATATGGCTTTGTAATGCATCCTATATTTAGTTGATGCTCAACGCTCATCTAACGTATTCATTTTTTGTAGGTATGCCTGGAATGACTGCTTATGCTGGTTTTTATGAGGTCTGCAATCCTAAGAAGGGAGAGACGGTCTTCGTTTCAGCAGCATCTGGAGCAGTAGGTCAGCTTGTTGGCCAATTTGCAAAGTTGTTGGGTTGCTATGTTGTTGGAAGTGCCGGAAGCAAAGAAAAGGTGAGTATGGTCGATTTCAACTATGTCTTAGTTGGCATTTCTGTGATTGTGACTCAATCGGATAATTATTCTTGGTTTAGAAACGTGTGTTTAGTGATCGATGTGTGCCAAATTGGCGACTGGGAAAATTTTAACTCTAGAGTAAGGGGAAAATAAGAGAACTTATTGGCAAGTACAGATATTGGTGACCCTTTATCTTTATAATCAAGCGGGTAAAATTCAGCTTTGACCTGTTTTGAACCTGCTGCCTCATCTGGTTGGCAAAATGTTCGTATCATATGACACCGCAAGCATATGCTACGTAGTAAATTATGGAGAAATGTGCATCTTTGAGCTTTTTCGTCTCATTCCTACAGTTTTCCGTATTGTGAATGACAATGTTTTAACCAGTCTTGCCATATTTTAACATATTATATCATTTCTGAGTTCAGGTTGATCTGTTGAATAACAAGTTGGGGTTTGACAATGCTTTCAATTATAAAGAAGAGCCTGATTTGGATGCAGCTTTAAAAAGGCCAGTAGATATGTGTTGAACAGAATCAAACTATTATTTTAAAGCTTTTACTTGTGTTTTAATTACGAGGGAAAAGTCCAATAAAGGCATTAGCAATCTCTAATTTAGTCTAATGTGTGATTTGCTTGCCAGATATTTTCCTGAGGGTATTGACATATACTTTGAAAATGTCGGGGGAAAGATGCTTGATGCAGTGCTACAAAACATGAGGGTCAATGGCCGGATTGCAGTTTGTGGGATGATATCGCAGTACACCCTTGACCAGCGGGAAGGTTGTCACAATTTAATATATCTGGTCAGTAAACAGGTTCGCATGCAAGGTTTCACGGTTCTTAGTTACTACCATCTTTACGGGAAGTTTCTTGAAATGGTTCTGCCGGCCATAAAAGAAGGGAAGATAACTTATGTGGAAGATGTAGTGGAAGGCCTTGAGAGCGCTCCAGCTGCTCTGGTAGGGCTCTTTGCCGGCCGCAATGTAGGAAAGCAGGTGGTTGCAGTTTCCCGAGAATGATTTCATCAGACTCTCCATGGCTCCGAAGTCTCAACCTTTAGCCATATGGTATAACCGTCTACAGTGCAAATGCTTTTCTTATACATTTACAAGTTTATATTTCTACAGGTTTGTGGCAAGCATATTATCCCGACGAATAAATGTCTTTTGATTTGCTTAATAATACGTAATACCAAACCACTAAGGATTTGATAACAAACAATACATACATATTGATTCCCTTGTATTTTGGTCTAATTAGACAACTCATTCCATGTGTGAAGGCTGCCCTTTTAGAAGACAGCTCTACTGAATATTTTCTCCTTTATGCATGTGCCTTATCATTATTCAACTTTTTTAGGACAATAAAATGTAAAATAGTATAGGAAGGGGATCATCGCCCAACCAATACATGGAGAGCCACCCAACAAATGGAGGGATATGTGCATCCCCACTACGTATCGTGTTTCGATCATTGAACTGTTCATCTTTTAAGCCTTCTCTTAAAGATCATCTCTACCAGAAACACCAAAATCCGAAACTATTTGACGGATATACCAAAACGAGTCCGTAGTTCTAACAAGGTCAGTTTTAGTTTAGAAATTAGAGTATTTTGGATTAGAGAATCACTTCTCTCAAAACCATTATTAAGAAGAAGAATAAAAAACATTATTATAATTATTTATGAGAAGTTGCGTGCAAACTGCATATAAAAGTTGAATACATCTCTATTAATTGTTACGCTCAAATCACAAAAACCAACAAAATTACATGAGCAAGCAACAACCAAACTCATGGAATATCTTAAGAATGATCAGCAAAATTTTACAACTATAAAAAGTGCAAACCTCAGTCATCGACCTCCTCTTTAATTTCTCTTTGTAGCTCCTCCTTGTACTCCTCGAAAGTTCCAGGGTAAAGGACCGTGCCATTGCGTTACAAACAATGCGAATACAATCTTAACAATGAAGCTGGGGTTGCCAGTAAAGAAGTGGGGTGGAATAAACTATGAACATACAAGTCTTAAAATGGACTTCATAGGATGAGGTTTAGAAGACAGAAGAGTGAGATTCCCTAGTTTCCTTCGAGAACTCATCATACCTCCGATGAATTATATCTATGCTTAGCAGGGGCAAGGGGGAGTGTAGAAAGCATTAAAAGATTACCGCGTCTTGAAGCAGAAAAAGTTTTAATGACGGTGCATTCAATGAACGTGCAAAGTTTGGTAATGTTACGGCCACGGTAAGAGATACAAGTTGAAACTGTTGATTGGCTGAGGAACAACAGGTATAGAACAATCATCCAAGGTTGTCTTCTTTTCTACAAAACAAAGTTGGCGATTCAAATGCAGGTGGAGGTTTTGAAAGGTATCAGAGATTGGAGAAAGTGGACCACAATGGAGAAAAAGGGGATTGAAATGTGTGCAGCAGAGATGCACCGCTACCTTCAAGCCTTTAATAATAAGGGGTTAGTCCGCCATGTCAAAAGGATCATAAAATTAGTGATGAATGATGGTGGATGTTAGTGCCTATGAAGCCCCCTAGAATACAGTTGTTCTTTTGATTTAACCAAAAGCACGAAAGATCTATAAAGAAGAGTTGGTTGTGGGCAAAGAGTGACTTGTGCATGACAGCACCAAATAAGAGTGGGTGGTCGGCAAGAGTGATTTATGCGCCGACAACATCGACCAAAAAGATGTGCAGGGAAGAAGTGATATACCCAACAACACCAAAAAGATGCCCTAAGCCCGAGGAATTAGAGGAAAGAAGTATTGCAAACTGCCTACATCTTTTAGACCATTCATTAACTAACTGTGTTTAGTCACACAGAACTGGATACAAAGACCTAATAGTCAAGGGAAAAGTTGCTGTAAAAAACTCAGGCACTATGATATAGGAGTACAGAATTCTTTCCCAAAAGCTCCCAATAAATCATGATTAACTGTGAGTTGGGCCTAAGAAAGGGAAGGCGAGAACCAACGTGGAGGTAAAGGAGAAAGAAAACAAGTTGTTAGCCCCTATCAGAAATGATAAGAGGGTTTGGCCCGGAGAAACCGGATAAGCAACCGTAGCTTAAAGGAGTAGTGTTGTGTAACAAATGCCCAGACGTTAGTGTACTAGAAGGTGCCACGTATCAAGAGCTATCATGTGATCAATAGCTGATCAATAATAAGAGAGAGAGAGAAGGACATGAAGCCCGCAGAAATATCACGCGGCAAAGCTGAAAAAGAAACCTAAGGGGAGAACAATGAACCCGTGGTCTCGTCACTAAAGAAAAGCTCAACCCCACTCAGGGCAAATGTATGTATGTGGGAAAGATGGAAGATTATAAGGAAAATGAGAGCCTTCTATGACAAGAAGTCCAGAGGCAACAAAAGCCACATAAACTCACTAAAGACCCTGCCACATTAGAAGCCTCAAGAGTAAATGTAAAGTTTGAGAAAATGGCCCTGTCAAAAGAGAAGTAATAACTAACTTCGGTTTGAGGAATGTAAATAAGGAAGTGGAAAGAGCCAAATAAAAGCTGAAGGGGAAGGGGATCGATGTGCCTCCAAACCTTCCATCGCAGGGAAATCAAGATCTTAAGGAGAGCACAAAAAAGAGATGTGTGATGATGCAACACTGAAGATGGAATCCTGAACCAATTAGTGCTTTAGAACTATTTCACCCGGAGAAGGGGAATACCTTCACCCTTTTATGCATTGATACCCTTTGTGGAGATCAAAGCAAGTGCATCACTTGGCATTAACCAGGGAGGAAGAAGTGCCCCAAATTAATGTTACCCAAAAGATGCACAGCATGGTTAGAATATTTGTGTCCCTCTGATTGGAGCAAGAAGGAAAAATTTACTTGACCCTAGCAATCTTCAACGTAAACATATTTAATGTTTCTATCTGCCATTTGCGCTAGAAACGATTTAGCCTGCACGTATGGAGGACGATTACTTAGCACAGAACTAAATAAATGAACTGTTAGTGTTGAAGAACCGGGGAAATGAGGATCAGGCATGAACAGGGTTACCCGAACCCCTAAGGAAGGAGCCCGAAAGATATATTAGGACATAGATGGTTTTTTCACAGCCCAGCACATATATGGTAAAGCTGCTCACCTGGATAAAATACCTTTCAGAGAGGGTGTTGATTGAATGAGGTGAAGTACGGTTCAACTTAACTTCCAGTCAAAAGACAGATGAAGAGAACGGGGAAGAAGTGAGGGAGATCTTATTCCTACTAACCTAACAGTCTTAGTTTCTTAGAGCCATTACTAGACACATGGGAATACTGCCCCTGGAAGATTGAATTCGGGCATTCAAAGCAATCATGCTAAGCTTTTCTTTGTGGTGGATAACAGCTTCTTTACTTTTTTATTAAGTGTTTACTTGGGCAGAGATATAGATCCATCAAAGTCTGTCTGTTGCATCCATTAACCATCAATAAGTTACGGTGTACCATGAAGTCTAAAAGCTAGAGAATCAAGTTTTGGGAGATTGTGGAGGCCGAATCATGGCCATTCTCCCCATACCAATGTTGTTGAAGCATTTTCTGCAATCCTAGTATTGGGATCTGCTGTGGCCTAGCGAAGCTAATGAGAACTGGTCGCCCTATCCAGTAACGACCTCAAAAAAGCTTCTAAGAGTAGGATTGTGTCTTACTAATGAAGATTGGATACTGCCCCATAATCTTCCAGCTCCCAAACATCAATGATTGTCAAAAAACAGAATGATGAAGGAGCCAAAGTAGGTTGCAGGTCATTCGTACACTATAAATCAATGAGACTGTTGATGCCTAACCAATGGAGTATAAGAAAGAAACACCAAGTAAAGAGAGGCTCTAGCCAAGCAATGAACACCAGTAGTGAGAAATTGAGGCTTTCAATGCAACTTAGCAACAAAGAAGGAATAAAAAAAGTTTCTTCGGAAAAGAGATAGAGGCAGCCATACACATGCCTGAGTGTATATATGACTTTGGATTGGCTAGGATATGCCCGAGATCCAAAGTCAGCTGATAATTTTTGATGCTAACCGAGCCTGATAAGCCAGCACTGAGAAGGTTAAGACCATGAGAAACCATTAATTTAGGACTGAAAGGGCTCCAAAGGCCATAGCAACCAGTGGTGTTCTTGGACGAGATGTTGATACCAGTCTGGCAAAGAATAGAGAAGCCTTTTACATGAATTTTAAAGATTGTCTTATGCTTGGGCATATAACCTAAGTATACATCCAGGTTGTAAGAAACTCCACCTAAAGTAGCACCAGCACAATCCACCGGTGAAGTAATGTAACACCAAGGATGCCTTATAGGATGTATAATAAACCTATGAAGGTAAGCTCCCAGAAGATGTCCAAAAGAGATTGATAGCAAAGTCAAAAAGGGAAATCAAAGGCTGGTAAAGTGCGGCCTGGAATTTATTTAGGCTTGTCCCAATGATGTCGAGTGGGCGGTTGGCCAACATTGGTATCAATTAAAACCTATAACACATGCCAAGTTCAATGTGTGTGGTCTAAATTCATAAGAAATACATTAATGCTATAGCCCACCTAAGGATAATACCCCCAATACTCATGGATAACTACTCCCAATGTGATCCAATTGGCAAGAACAAAAGTTTTATCTTCATGGAGTAGGAATGTGGGGGTTATAACTCAGATAATATAAAATGGCTAAAGAAGATGATACCACTAAGAAAGCTTTTAGAGATGCCCAAGACATTATGATGCGGGGTGCTTTAAGATGTTGGTGCAAACCTTATGCTAAATGTGGGCGATGAATGTGCGCGGACTTTGGTTTCTAGTGATCCTTATATCGGCCATAAGTGCTGGAGGGTAAACAGTTGATGACATTATGGTTAAATCCATGGAATGAAGGAGCAAACACTTAGAAGATCTGCAGAGAAGCGATTAGCAAAATGAGAGACCGCATAAAGTTGAAATGAAACTCTAAAGAAATGTCTTTTGGGCAAGATTGGCAACTTTTTAGGATTCCTGTGTTCATGTAAAGAGTATTAGAGGTAGATTAAGAACAAACTCGGGCACAATCATTAAAAATGCACCTCCCTCCCAGCACACAAGTAAGTTACAATTACAAAGGCTTATTAGGCAGAAAAATCAAACTTCTTAAGGAATTTTATTGTTAACTTTGGGTAGGCAAGTGTTCAGGTCGTGGCCTGTACTTCCTTGTATTAAGGTTACAAAGACTAAGAGAGAATTTAGAGGGGGCCCACTAACTAAAATTGCCAAGAGGCCTTGTGACAAAATAAACGTGTTCTTCATCGTATGGCC